TGGTCATGGCCTCACAGCGGTTCCAAGCGGTTAGGAATCATGCTGCCGCTCTCGACGGAGTATCGAATTCGCCCACCGCAGACCCCCATGGCGGGATCGCACGAACAGAAACCTCCCTCTAGCGCAGACTCACCCAGGTGGATAAACTGAACCATTTAGGAGGTAAAGACAAAATCGGAATCGACCACTCGGGCGGCGGCCGTTGCTATAATTAGGTTAGGGATTCGAAAGAGACGAGAGGCTCTGCTGCTACGGACGAGCCCTGATCGATGGCCAGTCAATGAAGTCATCGTGTCTCCAGCAAATCGATACGGCTTGTGAGGGAAACGTGTCGGGAATCGAACGCGGCTTGTTAAGCAAGGCATCGACCGCTGTACTTAACACTCTCCTAGCGCCACTATATCTCTCGCTGAGTGTGAAGCGAATGTGCTGAGTATGACAGAACAAAAAAGAAACAAGCTGCAGGCACTGCTTGCATTCGTTGGAGAGCGCGCAGCCCTGACAGCGTTCTCGAGCTGATGTACGTAGAGAAAGTGCGTCACCTGCGCAAAGCGATCCGCGTTGAATCCCTCTGGTTCGGTGTCCGTCCATTCAGGCGCTTTCCACCCACAACGTGTATGCGCGTGGCTGTGTGTGGAAACGGTGGAGATCCATTCTCCCTCGGGGAGTCATCAAGAAAAACTCCAGCCCGCCGCTAATTATCCGAACCAGTGCCGAAAAGCACCGTTGAGAATACGCCGCATCATCCAGCGCATCTATCCATCGGTCGTTGGGGCAAGCCGCGGCGTGGAACAGATTCGCTCTTTCGAAACCGCCTTCCTCTCAGTGGATTTTGTGCGGCTCTCGCGGAATTTATCCGACGCTCGACGCGTGGAGGCTCGCTCCTTAGTTCAGGAGGAGAAAAATATTTTATTTTCAGACAACGCAGACGAACTCTCCGCCTTTGCCGGAAAATCGTTCTAGACTGTGCAATCAGTCGTTCGACGACGCCGAAGGCTTGACCCGATCCCGCGTTCGACCTCGAGAGCCTGGACCTTCGAGGTCTTGCGTCCATGAATTCGCAGATCGTACTCCCTTGGTCGATCCGTTTCTCCCGGTCTCAGTCTACGTCCCGTTGTTTGAAATTCCCTCCTCGAGACGGCCGTTCCGCGTTTCTTTGCTTGGGTTTCCGGCCTTGACAGTTGCTCTGAACGGCCCCGGGAGGACCCCGACCTTTGGCAGAAGGGCAGGTCTTGTCTTTCTCTGAGCTCTTGTCGTGGGATTTGCGGATTTCCCCTCCTCCGCTCTGAGCCGCTCGTCGCTCGAAAGACTGACTGGGGGCTTTACCTCAGTTCGTCTGAGCGCGGATTTCAAGCCCCTCACTCGCGGTGCTCCGTCTGGTTTTTTGCATTTTCTAACCTCGGTGTCCCGGTCAGGCTCTTCGGTTTTCTCATCGAGGCCGAGTGGGAGCTCGAACATACCGAGTTTGTATCCAACAATGGTACTTCCGTGGACTTTCTTAGCTTCGAGCTCCGACTGAATCTGCTTGGGCTTTCCCCCGAGCAAAACGGCATCGCGATCATTTCGGTCGAGTTCCGACGTTGGCGCCACGATTCCGTCCCGGGATCCCTCACGGACTTTCGATAGGCCAGAGGATCCGTTCTTTAATATTTCGCCAATGACCGCCATGACCGCGCTCGTCAGGAGCCGTAGTCCGAGGGGTGTCGAGCTCGGTTGAGGCTCCGGTGCTTTATTTGTGATTTCATCTTTAGCCGAGCTTTAGTGGCTGGGCCAGAACGGTATATGCTGGGCCGACGGTATTTATACCGAAATGTGGCGGATTTAAATCGAGTACGGTCTCCGAGACCCGTGAAGGTATGGTTATGAATTTGTAAGGATGCATGATCCTGGTTTTTGATGTCTTGGCGAATATCAACCAAGCATAATTTTTCAATCCATACGGTTGTATTGGGCATATGCTCGGATATTGACCCTTTCGGATCATTTTGCAACCACAAGAGAACATGTTTTGCGAGAATCCTCATCAATGATGAGTGGATTAAACTCGCGGCAGTATATATTTCCTGTGGAAGCCCTTCCACAAATATTACTGCAATTTTCATTTATCATCGGCATTTGTTAGCTCGAAATCGTATATCAAATCGAGATCCCATGATTCTTTGTGGTGATTTCACTTATGATATTAAATCCGAGACCTAAAAAATATCTTCGACAATATTCCTCGAATTCGAATACGGGTTTCAACTGGAGTCTTTTTCGCTAATCCGCTCAACGAAAGGTCGACTATTTTCGGATTTCATCTTCGCCCGAGATTGACCAAGTTTGGAATGCTTCACCGACATGAGCTGCTTCAATTATCACGAGCCGATCTAACACGGATTTCATAAATCTCAATCACGACGTAGAACAAGACGAATCATTCAATGGATGAGAGGTAACAAGGAGATAGAAGAGTACGTTTTTAGTGAGAGCGGGTCTCACACTACCCGCATAGGTTTCTGAGTGCGCATAAGGCATCTTCATGCTCCCAAAAAACAAAAAAGAGATAAAAAAATTCTCAATATGCGGAGGTTCTATTCTTCTTTTTTAATCCATTATGAAGCTCCTCCTGTAGATATTGTAACCTAGATGTGCGGTCTCTCTTATCGACAAACTAGTTCGAGATCTCAACCATCGTCAAGCGTAATCCTGCGCTATTCCCTCAAATAAGTCTTGACTCGTCTGGTCTCCGAAGCTTTTTCGCAACGATCGTTTGGAGAGTGTCTCCGATCTCATCCACATCTTCAATTGTATGCGATTATCCGATTGTTTTCCGGGCGGTCTCGCATTCCGATAGGAAGGCGCACAGGGTATGCTCCCACTCCTCTCGTCATGTCCCGCATATCGATCCTCCGGGAAGTTTCCGATACTTGTCCACCGGGTCTGGAACTCCGGTCAGGTATCGGAATATTCGATACGTCTCCTGAATTCCTGGGCGCCTCCAAATATCCCGCGCCCGACACGCTGCGATTAATCTATAGCCGGAATTTTTCCGTCGACCTTTTGTCTCGATAGGTTTCTTGCGGACATCTCGGTCGCAGAGACCGGCTTCGTTTTATGTAGCGATGAGAACCCGTGCCGTGTCCGATGATTGATCGGGCATGCGACGGGCTGAGCTCCTGACAGGCTTGTGCGGAGTTCGGCCCTGACTGAAGTTTCGGAACGTCTGGTCTTGGATTAGCGCAGAACTCGCGCCTCTCCGCATTGCCTTGGAAGCTCCCCAGAATTTCGATGCATGGGATTCCCCCTGTTCCGTAAATCTTTCGGTCGATCTCTCCAGATCAAAGGTCGACCGAGTGTTTGATGTTGCGCACTGTCTTGAATTTACGGGGGCTAGGAAGTCAATTGTCCAGCGAGCCGTTGAGGAGCGCTTAGGGCCTCATCTGAACCCAAGTATCTCTGTGAATTTATGTTGGCCCAGAGCAGAACTTCAAAGTACTGCACAAGACCTCCAACTAATTCACACGATCGGCATTGCGAAGAGATACACAGACATGATCCCATGAAATCCTCGAGGATCAGCCGCGGGCCACGGGAAAAGCTCTCACGAGTACTTGAGGCCCATAGGACACGTTTTTGGATGGTCAGGGCGCTTCCTCAGCTTCCACCCTTCTCCCGAGCTCACTCTTTGCGTATTTGCGTTCCACAGGAACTCATGGGGCCCCTGATCCGCGGATGGATCCAGACGCTGGAAGGGAAGCCCGCCGGGAGGCATACAAGACCGTTCCGTCATCGACGTCGCGTCTCACTCAAACCCCCTCCTCCCTCGGAGTATCAAGTCCTAGCCGAACTTCTCCGACAACCTGAGCGCGTTCCCGAATGGCCCAGTCTCCACATTCCAGTCTCCTTTCCGACTTCCCCGGTGGTGATATTTTCGCTGCGAAGTTCTCTCGCCGTCTTCATCCGACCTAAGTAGCGATTCAAGAGCCACTGCTTCACCCTCATACTCGCTCCAGCGAATTCTTCCATTCCGAGTTGATGAACTGCGCGAAGTACGTCAATCACGCCGTCTGAACGCCGAGGTCGGCAGCCTAGCCTGGAATCGAGAGAACCTTCCGATGTGTCATCATAGCCCCATGCCGCTCCGGCGCGATAGATTTGTACGAATATCATTCTGGAAAAAACCAAACATCGGGCCACATCTCTTCTCAACTATCACTCTTCACAACGATTCCGGAGGTTCCCGATCGGATACCCTTGTTGTTGACCTTGACCCGGGCCTTGCGATATCCACAGCCTTCAATGAGCGGGTCGGGGGCGACAAACACGGATAACGGTTTCAGAAACCGAGAGCCGGAAACCTCAATATTCGCTATCTGCCGCTCCGACGGAAGCGGAAGGGAAGTTTATGTCGCCGTCTTTAGTGAAAAAGAACTTCAAGCACCGTGGCTTTACTTTCGCTGATCATGGCGCACCAATGCGCTGGATGTTTATCTCTCCCGAGAGAACTGTCCGCTGTGGTTTTCCAGAAAGGCGTCCTCACAACGCACGAAAGCAGCTGGATAACGGGATAACGGGGAGGGTAGGCCCTTGATTGGTGACTTCTCGACGTTTCGGAAAAATTGAGGTGATCGGAGAAGTCGGGAAGGATATCTGAAGCATTCAATGGCGATAATCCGCCTCAACAAATTTCATCAACGGGAAGCCGCTGGCGAAGACCAGTAATTCACCTCAATCATCAGGCGAGGGACAGGATTCCGACCCCAGTCCTAAGATCGGAACTCCTCCATGTACCGTCGTCCGCGGATGAATGACTCCCCGATGGTGAATGGTGATGGACTGGCCTTCAGCAGAATGGCTGACTGGCCGAGTGACTAAATGCCAAGCTGACTGGCCCTTTTGCTGCTGGTTCTCCACGAGCTTCTCTCGACGTTGAATGATATCTATTCGCAGTCTCCACGCTTCTATTCACCTTGCTTCACCGCCCGGACGGTCGGTCGGTCGCTTCCGCCCTCGAGAAGCCGGCGTTACGTCGCTCGAAACGATGCAGGGCAAACGCGGTATCTGTCCGTACCTACTAATCTGCCTTGGCGTGTGCGTTCACTCGGCTGATATTTCTCTCGAAGGTAGAAAACACTCAGACGGTGGCGTTGTGAACACATCCCAGCCTCAGAATCGATGCGTTTCGCATCGTTACCTGTCGCCGTTCCGATAGATTGTGCTTCGATCCTCAAATAATTTCAGATGCGGCCGAAAATCCTCTGGACATCGATAGACTCTCGAGCGTGGTCAACGATCTGTTCAACTCGACCGACGATTTGGATCCCTCGCTGATCTTGCAGGATTTCGTGAGGCACCCGCTGCCCATCAGCAATTCCACGATCGAGATCTCAGACGGTCGACTCGAGTGCTACGATCTGATGCTCCATGGGCTCAACAGTGTTTTCATTCGAGAGGTATGAACGAACAAGTATTCTCAGCGTAAGGATCCGGAATCAGGAGTAGAGCATCGAAACGACGATCACCGTGTCCCGTCGATTCAAGGCCATCGCGAACATATCGGGCCAGTACTTCAGTTTCTCGCTCGAGGTACCCTCGGCCCAGCTGAGAGGGATGCAGAAAACGGCCATCCAAGTTTCTTTCGTAGCTCTGAATTCGCATGGCAAGCTCGAACTGAACGTCAGTGACGTCTCGATCTTCGGGAACGCGTCGCTCAAGAACACACCGACAGGATTACAAGTCGATTCCGTCCGCGCGAAGCTGGAGGTCAGTGCAACTGGAACAACGTCGTATCGCGCGTTCGAAAACTCTCTCAGAGCCTAGCTCAATGTTTTTCTTATTATTGTTCTATACTTTTCTTCATTCGTATCGACCCGAGACGGAATCTGTGGAAGATCCTCGCGGATTCCGAGAAAAAATCCCATGAAACTACCGAGATTCCATACCTTACCTGGGCACTGCGAGCTAGAACTGCTCGGACCTTTCTTGGACCTGTGCGACCATGGGTCGCTCCTTGGGTTATAATCTGTGATTTTCCTTCGAAGAGGGTCGCAGCCTATCAGGGTTCCGCTTTTCGGACATCTCTAAGCTTGCTCGGACAGTGACCCTGTGATCCTCGGAGAGTGTGAATACGGAGAGTCATAATTGCGGTGGTGACTCTCCTTGACAAAGTCACGAGGGTGGAGTTTAGATGAGCCCTTCTCGTACATTGAATTTTCGGAGAACATATCTAGAGAAAAAGGATAAGGATACTCGAAACAGAGGAGTAATCCTCAATATACTTAATACGTTTCGATTGGAGGCGACCTCTTCGCTTCATACGAATGGTTGATCGTATCGACAAGGGCTCCAGTCGGCGTTGAAACTTAGTAGGCAGCTTGTTTTTCGACCGCTCGGTCCGGAGGAACCAGATGAGGATGATGATACTGAAAGGGCATGAAGTCATTTGCGGGAAAATTCCCTGCAGCTCCGAAGGAATTGAACCAAGTGGCGCTCTCCGTAGGTGGGTGCGGTGTCGGTCGCCATTGAGGGTTTCTCCGATTTAGCTCAAGGTCTATTGAGCTTCGCCGGGAAAGAAATCTTCGATTACACCAAGCAGTCCATGCTGAACGACTTCGAAAACGCCATGACGAGGTCAGTTTTTGATTGCGATCCCGATCGGAGAAGATCCAATCTGCCTTCTCTTACCCGAACTCCTCAACAAGATGTTCCCTCGATCAGATATGCGAATGAAGAGCTCTTGAGAAGAATTCCGGCAAACCTGATTAAATACGAGGAGGATAAGCGTTTGATAGACTCCATAGTCCAACGAACAACAAGCACTCTCGTCGAAAAGGGCCTCGAACCTCAGGAGGTAATTTTGTGTTGTCATACTCTGAACCGATATTTCCAACGGAATGAGAACGAAGGATGATCGAACTTTCTCCCGCTGACAGCTCCGACCGTATCAGGCCCGAATCGATAAACTCTTCGTCCAGGGCGAAGTCGAAGTCACGAATGCGTCGCTGGCTGGGCTCTCGACTTTCAGGCGGACCGGGGATGTCTTGATGCTCTACTCGAATCGAACATTGATCCTGGAAGCGAGCTTCGGTTTTGAGAACTTGACCAGTGAGATTCCGCAATTTTTTCCTGCGTCGCCCCGGGAGTCGCTTTTTGACATCTCCGTCGATCCTCGAGAAGGCGGTGCGACTTCCATTGAGGATTAACGATGGGAATTTCGTCCACAGCCAAGTTCGATTGGTCAGCGAAGCTTCTTGGAGTCGGACCCAAAGGTACGGCTCAGCTGATTGTCACCGACACCAGAGTGAGGATACGGTGAGTGGAAATTCGAGAGGCTCCGAAGTGTGGAGACGGTGCGGAAGTGCGGATTCCGCTGGAGGGAATCATCCAAAGACTCCTGACCCTAGGAGCTATGTTTTTCCAGGATAACTTTCCCGCTCCGGCGGGAGGCTCAGCTGCACGTTGAACGGATCGATAAAGTACGAATTGGACACATCGTCACTAATATCCATGGACTGGGAACGGGAGACGCCGTGAGCGAGATCATCATCAATCTCATGTCGAACATTTTCAAATACGACCTCGCCAATTTCGTCATTCAGACCGCCAAGGACCAGATTCAAGAAGAAATAAATGCTATAGATTTGTGGACCTTCTCCAGGAAAATCACCGCTTGAAAGCCTCAGTAGGGATGTCAATAGCTACCCGAAATGCGTAGAGTCCGCTTTTCCGGGACAGCTTACTCTGCGCTCGACGCGGATTGAATAAAGAGATCGACGATAATTAATCGAGCGGAGGACCCTTAACATTTAGAGCTGGAATTCTCCCTCTCTTGCAGTTCAAGTTCAGTGACCTCAAAAAACGTTCCCAGTGAACCAGGAGATTTCCCTTCTTTATTACACAGGCAGCTCGGATTCGGCCGGAGAAACCTCAAAGAAATGAAGCTTTATGGCGATTTCTGCTGCTGCCGTGTACAGGACTCGACACAGACGTGCATCGGTTTAGGAGTTTGCCTTCACTTGAAAGCCCGGCTTGTCGGAACACTGCTGCTCGGACGGCGTTCCCACCCGGCCACACGGCTGTGAGCCATCCCGGTCGGTCTAGGCGCTAGGCAATAAATTGACCGAACGTGCAAGCGTTCCTTGCCGCGTTCTCCATTTCACTGATGGAGATCTCTGATCCCAGGAGCTCTAGCTGATTCTGAGAAGTGAAAAAACAGCAAGCGAAGATTGGCCGCTCGGCCGTCGTCACCGCTCATTTCGGACGCATTTCTCCAGTCTGCTTCCCACAGAAAGGGAGGGACGAATCCCTGCTCGGTGATTCCTCCGTTTTTCCGAAAACCTCTTCCCCATTTCTTTTCTGCCGGCGACTCCCCGAGTCCCTGATCGAACAGGTGACTCGGAGACGATCAATCACCACGACTAGATTCCCTACACCGGAGATCCGCAAGCGCGGCGATACCAATGGGACGCTTTTTTCGAATCCAGACCGATCAAAAACCAATCGGAAACTCACTGCCAACTCTTGCCTCAAGTTTTATTCAAGAAGATCCGCTTCTCAACTGAATAACTTCTCTCGTGCCCGCCTCGAGGCTCTGGAAGGCTTTTGCGTTTCAACTGCCAGACCGAAACATCAATCCCAACTCCGAATCCACGAGAGCCACTCTCGACGATTACTATCATATGTACACTCTTGTTTCGTTCGTTCTCGATGTCAAATACTAGCTGTGGGTGCTGCTTTCACAAGTTACAACAACTCATTTGGTGGCTGTGGTCGTCACGATCACGTGAGACAGTGCGCGGTTCTGACCCTCCGGGAACTGCCGGATCACCTTAGCCCAACCACCTGTAGCGTAGTTCATCTCGAAATGGGTCTGTATTAACATCGATCGATAACTCCCATCGGGTTGTGATATATCCTGCTTGTCTTCGTTCAGGACGATTGTGATTATGTCGCCTAGAGCAGGACACGGATTTTCTGTGGATGGAGAAGGAAAGCCGATGTAATTCAGCGCTTGCCGCTGAGATATGGTAGCAATGGTGGATTCGCTACAAGCACGGAGATGATTATGCTTACGTCGGTTTCCGGCGATGAAACCTAGGATCAAGGCTTTTTCCGAGCGTGTCACCTTGTTCGAGTTCTTGAACATCTCCTGCGCTTCGTCGAATTGCGTTTTCTGTAAAGGCGTAAGAGATGGCGTCCAAAAGGAGTCTCATTGATCTCAGGGGATTCCTCTCTCATTTTCCCGCCTACCGGTCCTCTGTTCGCCGGCATGGGTTCACGGGAGCAACTCCATTGCATCCCTCCGTGGACCGACTTTTCCAGAGAGTTGACCGAAATCACAGTCGGACTCACCGATATCGAATAGTTTCTGGGCTGAGCCTGCAGTTGAGAACTCTGGTCCGTCTGCTGCAGGACCGGTGCCCGGATCACCATCCGTTGCATTCGAGCTCCGTTGGCCGTCTGCGTCTGCAGATGTTGCACTGTCTGTTGGGCGACAGACACCGGCTGGACGCCTGCTCCCTGTACGACCTGAGGCGCCTGTCTAATTACGTACTGCGTGCCGTTGGTATTCTGAACCAGTTGAGTACCATGATTGACGACGACGTTCTGGTAAGCGCCGCCCGGCTGGAAGAAGAGCATGATTCCACTTAACACCGGGAGGATAAGTCCATGAGCAGTCGTTCGGCGTCGATGAGGAATTGGACGCGTCCTCGTCTGAATAGGAATCTTACCTGAGGCATTTGTTGCTGTGTTTGCTGTGTGACGTAGGTGGCCGGTTGCGTCTGAACGGTGTAGGTTTGACCTTGGACGACCACCGACTGCTGCGTCGGTCCCAATTGTGGTTGGCTCTGCGTCAATGGGCTCGAGAGCAACGTCGATGCCGCGTACGAAGGACGATTATCCGCGACTGGAGACTGTGTGACGACTACCTGACCCGCGGTCGAATATTTCGTCGGTGTTGAGTGGAGCTGATTCAAATTTAACGACGCCGGTGTGGAAGATTGTGACTGCGTCGATATTTGCACATTCGCATATTGTGGAGTGTGCGACGGCGTCTTGGGAGCCGGTGAAGATGGCACTTTCGGTATAGTGGGTATACTGCCGTAGGACGGTGCTGAAGGTGCGGGAGAAGGAACCGGCATCGACGACAGAAGACCTGCGGCGTAGTCCGGAGTGGTTGGACTCGCTGTAGCCGAAGTCTCCGCTTCCTCTTCCGGAGTTTTCTTCTCTTCGTCGATTTTTTTGTCGTCCTTTTTGAATCCTTCATCCTCGGCGTTCTTTTTTCTCCTCTTAGCGTCCCGTCCGATCGGCTGCTCTCCGATCTCCAGCAATTTTATGCCGGACTCTTTCCGATTCGGCGTTTTACTCAAGCTCCGGTTCAGCGATGAGATCGGTGACCGGAATGAGCCACTCAGTCTGTTCGAGGGAATGCCTCTCAACGGACTGTCCGCGCTCAATTTGCTCAGACCGCGACAACGAATAGGCACGGATGAATTCGAGATGGATCGTTTCGTGTTTTGAGATTCTCTCGCTTTCTGAAGATACTCAGCTTTGACCTGAAAGTCGACATTATGGCCCATGAGCGAGGACGACGCAGGGCAGCCGCGCGAACTCCGCGACAATCTGGTTGCGATCCAAATTTTCAACAGAGAACTGCTCATGTTTCTCATACCTGGTAGCTTTTGGGATTTTTGCGAATGTTGAAATGCTTAGTGGGAGCTGGCGGCGGCCCGAGGAGGGCATTGCTTGCGCTTTTGTTCAGATACAAACACTCCTCGGGCAGAATTTGCTGTTCCAGGGAACGGCTCCTCACGAGCTTTCGTAACTCGTTGAGGAGTTCGCAGAATCCACCCGATTCAGGGTCGAGAAAAAGAGTTCCGTCATCCGGATACGTTCTCAGAAGATCCGCCAGTGTTGACACCCATTGATCGTTGTCTTGGCTCGCTTTCACAAGAATCGCTTTCAACTCGGTGCTCCACTGGAAAGATTCGTCCAGCAGAGTCAATTTAGAATCCAGTCCGTGCCCGGGCTTCACTATCAGACTTCAACTGTCAGCGGAAATATTCGAACTCGGCAGTCTATCGGGCATGGGAAGACATCCAGATCGGAGTTCTTCCAGAACCCCTATCCGCCAAGACGAACCAGAGGTCTGACGAGCCGAGAGGATGCCGCGTGGAGGGAGCTCAAGTGTGGGTAAGATAATTCCCAAGCGATTGGGGCAGCTCGAGACTGCGTTCAGGGGCCGAGAGGCGGCAAAAAGTTCCTTCGAAAGTGCGGGGACGCTGCACTTACCTCTGCCATGTTCCGGAGCGGAATGTGGATGATCGCCAGGATCAGTTTCAGCTTGACCTGACTTTGGAGATCGGAGAATATCTGCGGGATTTTCCCCAAGAGCTCCCGGTCGAGTTGCGAGCAGATGGAGTGCGACGACCAGAGATCATTGGTTCCGAGTTTGTTGTGGAGCCATAGTGACGTGTCGCTGTCCCGTACGTACGCCATCTTACAAGAAATTCTAGCCGTTAGCCGTCAAGTCGGAAAGTTCTGTTGCTATCCTATTCGAGCTAAGCCGTCGGGAAATCGAGCGCCAAAACACAGACGGCAAACAGAGCAACTCTCTCGATCGGATCTAGCCAGCGCTGCTCGGCCTGCGTGAACGTGGAGGAACGGGCTCTGAGGGGAATCGGAATGAATCCAGAGTTCACATTCCAGCGAAAAGAACAAGTGAAGTTCAGGAGCGAAAACTATTTTAACGCATTGACAGAAGAATGGACATCTCACCTTCACTGGCTTCGTCAGCGACGAATCAACTCGGAACAACTCGGAATGCCAAGAGTAATTTTCAAGGATTCTTCTTCGTAAAACAAGTCATGTAACTAATGGCAGAGAAATTGGTAAAAATATTGAAACCAAACGGAGCGATTCAAGCTTTCGGAGGAGTACTGATGAACGCATTTTTGTTTAACATCGCTCTTGCGCTGAGGCGGGCGTTCCGACAACTCTTCGGGCGCACCGAGGACTTAAATTGAGATAATTCTTCGTCACGATCTCCAGACGGAGCGGAAGTCGCTTCCGGACTCTCAACCCATCCCCAGCGTCCGATTCCGTTGTGCGGAAGGCCTCGAATCGGAAGATTTCCTGTTTCGACGAGGAAAGAGCCAAGGACCTCTCCGTGAGCGGGAAAATGGCGGGCAGTAGCAGACGACGGGGAGATCACGGTCGCGGTGTGATGATGGTGTCTTCTTCTTCTTAGAGGGATGAAATTGCTGTTGCACGTTGTGGCCTGAGACCGCTAACGACAGGATCTGCTCAAAGGAGAGCGTCGCAGCCTAGCTCACCGCAGTGTGTCCTGAGGCGAGGAAATTCGACCCCAGAATCTTGTTTATTGGCAGAGTTTCGTGAAAAAACCAACAATGGATGAGAATCGTATCATGGAAACATTTCGGGCCACGATCGACCCCAACAAACGCGAGGCCGCCGAAAAGGAACTCGAAACGGTGAGAAATCCAAGGGATACCAAAGCTGGGCTCAGGATCCTCCACTATGAGTGTCGAGTGTGATTGAACTCCGACATACGCTACCGTGAAACGCGTGCCACGCGCACTGCCGCAGAGCCCTCTGTCCGGTAGATAACAGACTCCATTCATCAGCTATCGGGGCCTTGCTCCAAGAGACATCAGACTTCTCCTCGCGCAAGACCATCGGTTTCCTTGCTGGTCAGGACGCGCAACGGAGCGCAGAATATGTCTCGATCGGCAGTGGAGCGTTGTGGGCGTTCGATTTATCTCAGCTGTGCGCTGCGAAACTACTTGCCGCTATTCACCTGAAACGGTACCGCTCGTCCTTTCTGGCCCCCTGTCCGTATTTGGGACCGCCAGGAGCACTCGATCAGGCTATGGATTCAGACCTTAAAAGGCTTATGGAAGGATATCCGAGCATGTGTTTTAAAGGCACGTGGATGCTTCCTCTGCATGGGTCTTTCGTCTGTTGCGTATACACCGCAGAGCTGCGCTCGCTGCTGAGTAGTTGAAAACTGTCGGGATTTTACCTTGAGACCGACTGCTGCTCACTATTACCTGCTGGAAGCGCTCTTCAAAGAATCCCGATCCCTCGAAAACTCGTAGTCCCGCAAGGGCATCCGATGAAGCATCCCGATGTCAGGTATCATCGTTGCGATCGTTCCACTGCGCGGGTTTCGGATTCCTCCCATGCAGTGCTCTCGCATTCGCTGGGTGAGAGAACTAGCTAGCGATGGAAGCTTCCTCCGCGGGTTCAACGAGTCTTGCTGAGAGGGGATCTGATACGTAAGGAGTCGTTCCTGAGATGCGACTCCTCTCGCAAATGGGCTCACCAGTCATGTTTCGAACCACCCTCCTCGAGAGCCAGCAAGTCATAAGGAAACTCACCGAGTCAGAATCACCACGACAAGACTCGGAGATGACGCATCACATGACGCAACTGCTCGATCACGGGAGGGAAGGAGACGGGGAGATCTCGAGGATCAGATTGATCGGGGAGATGAATTTGTCCCTACTTCCTGTATGTGTTCAGCGAAAGGCCTTCTGGACATCACCTAATAGATAAACGTCATATAAGCTGAGCATGGACCGAATATTGTAGGTGAAAAAATTATCGGCTTCGCACCGGCGGTGTTGTCAGTCGTCATGAACAACCAGCTGGATCTCCCAACAAGGCAGGCTGCAGCTGTTTACCTGAAGAACCTCGTAGTTGCTCATTGGGCCGATCCCCCGGAACCCGTAACGCCGGGGGCCGCTCTCGAATTCAGCATACATGAGCAAGACCGCTCGATGCTCAGAGATTCGCTCGTGGATGCCGTCGTCCAGAGCCCCCCTCTGATCCGGTGAGTTGATGGGCAGAAAACGTGGTATATGAACAGTAGGGACAGACTTCATTGGGCCTCTCTCGATCCAAGACCCGCCGAAAAAGGCTTTCTCCGCGGTCGCTCCCGTATGAGGAGGCCTTTGACTTTCCTGTACCAGTTTCCAAAACGAATGACTATTGTTTTATTTCCTATTCAAGATCTCAGATGGCGGTCTGTGTTATCATCGTAATCAAACGAGACTTCCCAGGACGGTGGGTGGGTATCGTCGACAAGGTCGCCCTCTACCTTCAGACGCCAAACAACAATGATTCCTGGCTCGGAGCTCTTTTAGCCTTGTACCAATTAGTCAAAAATTACGAGTGAGTACCGACCTCGCTCCACTGCACGCTCTTCCGCTTCCCGATTATCTCTATCATCATATGCTGTGATATCGGACTGATTAGCGGAAATGAGAGTCTCCCTCGATTTCCAGATGTAGGACGGCAAAAGAAAGAGTTCCTCTGTTGGAGGCCATGAAATTGCTCCTGCCGATCCTGCAGGAAGTCACTCTGAAGGTTCTTCCCGAAAGTGAAAATGAAGCCGCTGTCCGCGTACAGAAGCAAAGTTTGAAGATCTTCCACGCTCTCATCCAATATAGTCTGCCACTAGAGTTGCTCAGTCAAGATGTATTCGGCCAATGGATGGAGATCTGTCGTATCGTAATTCAGCGTCCGGTCCCCGCGGTGAGTCGTCATTCCTCTGCGCAGACTCCTCCCCCTGAATGATGCCTGTCGGGAATCGCCGTGACCGAAGGCGGCGCTTCCCTTGCACCATATGTACTCTCGATTTCTCTCCGACAAGCACGGGCTGGAGTACGTCTGTCTGGTTTTAAAATCAGCGGGACCGCTTGTTAACTCTACTGAAACCACTTCTATCGATTGCAGTCGACTCTCGAGGTTTCCGGAGACGAACGACCCGAACTCATATACTGGAAGATTAAGAAATGGGCATTACACATAGTGACTCGCTGCTGCGAGCGGTACGGTTCCCCGTCCTCTGTCAGCAAGGAATACAAACAATTCGCCGACTATTACGTCAAGACTTTCTCTCAGGGTGTTATCGCCACACTTCTACAATCCGTTTTCGAACCGTATCGTCAAGGGCAATACGTCTCATACCGCGTGCTGCAGGAAGCTCTGTCTTATCTCGTACATTCTGTCGGGCAAGCGTACTGCTGGAAATTCATCAAAGTCCACATCAACATGATCATCCAGGAAATAATCTTCAAGATCGTGTGCTTCAACGACGACGATCAAGAACTGTGGACAAGCGATCCCACCGAGTACATTCGAATAAAGTTCGACCTGTTCACTGAGTATCGATCACCGGTCACAGCCGCTCAGCACCTTCTCGACGTCGTGTGCAAGAAACGGAAAAACGTCCTGCAGAAAACCATGGAGTGGGTGACTGGACTCATCAATTCGGGCACGCTCACACCTCAGCAACAGGACGGCGCATTTAACATGGTGGGCGCTGTGTCTTCGACGTTGTTGCGCAAGGCCCCCTACAAGACTCATCTGGAGAACATGCTCTGTTCGTACGTTTCACCGTTGTTCAGCAGTAATCACGGCTATCTACGGGCCAGGGGCTGTTGGCTGCTGCAACAGTTCAGTGAAGCGAAATTCACGCGGCCCGAAAACCTTATTGGATGTGTTGATCTCCTGAGAAACGCCATCATGAACCCTCGGGAGGAAGTGCCTGTCAAAGTTCAGGCAGCTGTAGCTCTTCAAGATCTGATGTCCGATCAAGCGGAGAGTGAGTATACCGCGTATTCTTACCGGAAAGCGATCAGGCAAGGCCGCGACACTTTTCGATCGTCGAGGTACTCAGAGACTGAGAAAAAACTCACCGTGTCTTTTTATTCTTCAGTCAAAGCCTATCTGGAGCCTCAAATCCGAGAGCTCACTCTTTGTCTCCTAGACCTCGTGCGGTCGACCGAGGTAGATCAGCTTACGTCATGCGTCCAGCGAATCGTGTGCAGTTATGCCGCCCAGTTACTCCCTGTCGCGGTGGACATCATGAATCATTTGGCGCAGAGTTTCTCGACGATGCTCGCCGAGACCCAGAGAGACGGGGACAGGGAGTCGAGGGCCGTTTCTGCCATGGGTAAGTCGAAGGGGAGACTTCGGATTTCGTTGCGGGGTTCCGATCGGGCGACCTTAGGGATTGGTTGATAATTCAGTTCTCTCCCCCTGTCAGGAATCCTTGGGACCATGGAAACCATCCTGGCCGTCTGGGAAGACGATAAAGAAGTCGTTGCGCGACTCGAACCCATTGTTCTCAACATAGTGTCCGTAATCCTCCGTGAAGCTGTTAGCGAATTCTACGAGGAAGCTTTTTCGTTGATTTACTCTTTGTGCTGCGAACGCGTGTCTGAAAACATGTGGCAGATCTTCAGCATAATGTACGAGGCCTTCGAGAGGGATGCCCACGAGTTCTTCATCGACATGATGCCGGTTCTACACTCGCTCATAACAGTCGACTCGGCGGCGTTCCTCAGCAACGACAACCATGTCCGTGCCATGTTCAACATGTCGAAGTTTATTCTGCAAAATGACACCGAGGAAGATATTTTATGCCACGCCGCTAAGCTTCTCGAGGTGATGATTCTTCATTGCGGGAGCAAGATCCAGAATTACCTTCGGCCCATCATCGAGGTCTGTGTAGAGCGTCTGTGCAAGAAAATCGTGTGGGTGGAGCTGCGGCAACTTCTGCTACAGGTGAGGGAGCCCGAAAATGTTCCGTAGAGGAGAGCGTTTGCCCTCGGCGTCCGTTTCAGGATCCCCGACCTCTTCCCGTCTGAATTTCGAAAATTCCCTCCCAGGTCCTGATAGCGGCTATGTTTATCAATCGGCCCCTGCTTTTCTCGACGCTGAGTGAGCATCGGACACCGCCGCTCAAAGAGACCAACAACCAATCAGTTCCTTTCATCGACTATTTCATCACACAATGGATCGATGACGTCGATTGTTTCCTCGGCGTGCACGATCGAAAGTTGTGCGTTCTTGGTGAGTTCGGACAAATGTCTCCGAGCAGCACGCCGGACCCGCTCGCTCTGAAACTCCTATTCATGTTTTCATCTCCTCGATCAGGTATATGCTGTCTGATGGATCCCGGCTGGTCCGACAAACCCGCTGCTCTGGAAAGAGTCCTTCCGAAAATCATGCCATCATTCCTCATGCTATTCGAGGGTTTGCGTCGCGCCTACACGTACAGGGCGTCGATCGACGACGAGGACAGCGACGACGAGAACGATGGTGGTGATAGCGACATAGAAGGAAGTGTTCTGAGTTCCGATGAGGACGAATTAGACGACGACGGTCAAATCTACTTGGATCAACTGTAAGTCCCCTAGATGGCTGCATGGTCTAATTTTCCCTCTGTGAGTGGCGTCCTCTGTTGTGAATAATGGTAGCCAATCGACCTTTCCAGCCAGGAGAAGGCTCACAAACAAATCACAAATTATGTGTGGGTATTCAGCCGAGCCCATTCGAATAAGCTTGATCCAGGGGCGACCGCGAGATGAAAGCGACTCGATAAAGCGATTTTTCTTTGCTCCGAATTCCAGGCAATCCAAAATGAATGCCGCTGGATATTGCACAACTCAAGTTGTCCAGGGGGCTGACGGCGCCACGAGCGAAGATGAAGATTCTGTGTCTCTCGACGGAAAAGAGGAGACCGGGCTGGAGTGTCAATACACTACGCCGCTGGATATCGAAACTAGCGAGGGTTTCGTCGACGAGTACGCGGTCTTCATCGGTCTGCTCGATGCGCTGCAGTCCACCTCCGCGCCCATCTACAACCAGATGATAAACTTGTTGTCAGATAGGCAGAAGAAGCAGCTCAACGACATCTTCGTCTATAATGGCCAACGGAAAGCCGCAGCGGAGTCAGCCAAGATCAATCAGCAAGGAGGTTACCAATTCAACACGAATCAAGTTCCACAGAGTTTCAACTTCGGGGCCCCGAATGGCACGTTCGCGCCCCCTAATCATTAATGACGAAGCAACGATTCGAGCCGAAAATTTTGTGAATTTTTCATTGGCACACAGTCCTTCCATTCATCGACGGAGCGAGCAGGCAGACCGATGATCGTGCTGTGGAAATCGTGATAGTCGCCGCCAGCCCGCTCCGAAACTGGAGCGACATCTTTTTTTGTAATGGATGTACATTATGACGAATCACACTAGATGCGAACGACACGATGATGAGACGGACGAGACAACCGACTTGTTTTGTTTTGAAAGGTGGAATAAAATATATTCATAACGACACGCTGACGCTTTTCTGTTACTGATCTCCTGACGGCCCGCAGTCATTCGCAGACGGAACATCGAGGCGAGCCACCGATAAGACGGACTAACGTCCGAACTAAGCGCCCTTCGAATATTCAGGAAGCCGGTCGTAGCTACGTGGAATTTCTCTTCTGACGTATTTCAGAAAACGTGGCGGGAACGGGCCGGAATGATCATTTTCAGAAGCTGCAATTTTCTCGGATCAGCGTGATAGTCTTGGTGTCACCGCGATTCGCTAACGGGATGTGGAAGGCGAGCCGAGCTGCTTTCAGATGCAGCGAAATTTATCACTGTGAAGCTCGAAGCCAGATTCATCCTGTGCTGGACGCATGCAGTTTGCAAACATGAAACCACTTGTTTTCAATTGCAGTATATTCCAGCCTATAACGTATGTTCATTATGTACATGTATACACCTCAATTAGTGATATTGATTTCTAACATCTTTCGATAACAAACACAGTCTGCGCGTCCGTGCCCGATGGCTCCAGATAATGTTTAGGTCATCCTACCGTGCGGTGAGGAGCTTTCTGGTTCCCTAAGCTGCGTTCTGGATAGTGTCGGCGAGTTGGAGTCGCTCCTTCTCGCTCATTTCCCGAATTCTCCGCGGGAGCCGAGTACCGTCACCGTTCCTGAGCTTCTGGCGCATGATCGCCGCCTTGGAAATCGTTCTGCGCTCCGTCACTTGTCCAATGCTCGCCATCAAGTCGATGAGCATTGTGGTCCAATTTATGTGCCTGCGGAAGGAGGGCCGGCGTGACATCAGCGATCGATAATTGCCTCCTTGCTCAGTCTTCTTCCGGTTCGGTCAAGCCGAAAGCGATCAGCGAATGGAATGCAGGCAGAATGCGCCCTGTACGGACGTCGCTAGGGGATGGAGCTTGAGAAAAGTAAGTTTGAGTAAAATAAACGGTAATTACCAGCCGAGCTCCGAACAGTTGTAATCGTGCGGGAAAGTGTGGTGGTAGTTGTGCCATCCTTCGCCAGCTGCCACCACGGATACCCAGAGAACTTCGGACGGCTTCATATTGCGATCGAAGGGTCTATCTCCCACGTGATGAGCGAAGGAATTCACTGACCACGTGAAATTGAATGACAGCGTGAGCCGCAAGAAACACAGCATGAAAAGAGGTAAAACCGCATCGCCGAACAAAAAGTGTGGGAGTAGGGTGGGTAAACCGAATGAGAACAGTAGTACCAGCCAGCCGTAGTATCTGTAAGCGAACGAAGCCGATATCAGTCAGAGGAGCTCCTTACCTCCATTTAACTAAGTTCAATAAATGACCTTGGAAACTAAGATTAGATAAACTGCCTTGAGGAGATTAGGCGCCCCTTTATCCCATTCCGCGTCTCAGATCAGAAGCTATTGCGTGGTGTTGGAAGACGATTCAACATCAGCAATGAGCGCTCGAGGAACGTGTAGCCGCTGTCATGTCGGTCGCCGACAGTGCTGAGCGCCGTTTCCGGAAGCATCATTTTACTGGGGATGGGAGAGACTGGTGCTCCATAAACGTCCTGCTGTGTACCGGAGCTGACTGAACAAAGCGGCAAAGAGACAGCACCACCTTGGCTTCAAGGATTTCTTCGTCGGCGGTCAATCCAGCTCAATCTTGATGAACGAACAAAGATTCGGGCAAACAAGGTACACGGAGTGATGCTTAACGCGTGAGCACTCAATCCGACAAATCGACAAAGTGATTCATCACGTCATGAGGGGCCGCAAATTCTTCAGGTCGACTCTTATTCATTATTATTCAATCGATGCACGCTCCAGTATTTTAGAATCGAAAACGGAACCGTGAATGCGCAACTTCGGCGCCGATTGCTCGACGGATTTTCTCTCGTTCCGCTACTCGTTCTACAGTGTTCTCCGGCACGTGTCGAAGCCTGGGGTCAGGGCCCGAAGCGCAAAACTCGTCAAAGGAAGTGGATCATCAAAACAAAGAGATTTCCGGAGGCGGGAAGCTCGAAATACTGCAAGATTCCCCGAGGCTCGCCCACGTCGGATCCAGCGCGAGGATCACGACATAAAATAGAGAAGATGAGATCCGGTTCCCATCTTGAGGTCCGTGGACGACAGATTTGAAACGCCCTGTTCCCTGACGGTGGGCGATGATCGGTGAGCCCCCTCGAGCAAACTACTTTCCGATAGCCCGAATATGAGGACATTGGTACCGACAGCATTTTTGCCCACTGTTCATCGCGCGCTAATCGACGTTCCCACAGCGTGTTTGATCGATGTCTCTGAGCGAAGGTCGGTACGAGCAATTTCCACCCGTTCTTCAGCTCGTTCACGTATTCCAAAAGATTCCAAGAGAGCAGCTGCACCAGAAAATCCTAGGTCCAGTTTTTCTACTGGGGGCTCATCTCGTCGAGAAAGCCAACGTGTCTGATCGGTATTCCGTTATCCTTGGCATTGATTGACAAACTCAGTTTTTCGGCTCCGGAGAATGGCTCGGGAGTGGAACGTGGCAATGCGTCACTTTTTGTCGACGCTGCTCGCCGGCATTGGTTCCGAAGTGGCTGCGGTGGCTTCAAATCATTGTCTCCTGTCAAATCAAACTTCATCCTTGACCGCAAAGCCTCAATGGTGACCAGAAATAATGTAGATAGAATACTCCTTCTACACGATTCGACGCTGAAGAGAAAGCCCGGCTGTCACGCTTGAGTCGGGCTCTGAGCTGTCGTCGGGAATCGCTCCGTACGGGAACGCGATGTTTTCACCCTGCAGCCAGCCACGAGTAGGTGTGACTCATCGACGCGGGAAAGCAGTCATCGTACCCGGTGACGAGTGAATGTATCGACTGATGAAATGTACCTTGGCATACTTCTCACCCGTCAGTCTATTTCTGAGTCCGGAACCGATTAATGGGCGCACATGAATACGGGATTCGAGTCTCACTCACCTCATGTTGAACCTCACCACGGGATCGCCGATCAGGTCCGAACAATCGATCCGGCTACCGTACTTGTACACGTCCGGATGTTTCTTGATCATGAGCCATCCGATATGACTGAAGAAAAGCCCTCGATCGATGTTGTGAGGATCGGCATTCGTGTCCGAGAATTTATGATGCACTCGATGGTCCCGACACCACTCGTAAATGTCGTTCTGAGCCGCGATCGTATTACAGAGCATAAGGAACGTTCTGAACGGTGTTCGAGCCTTATACGATCTGTGCGTCCACAATCGATGGGCTCCGGCGGTTACCGATAAGCCCGACAAGACCAAATAGACGAATTCTGGAAAAGAATGAAACTTGTAAAAACGCTCGCCGGAATCGGAATTGGCGTTGAGAGAACCGAGAGGCAAATTTTCTCGTCTAACAGGAACTAAAGAAATACGACATCGATAGTGTCATCAACGGTGAAGCGCGCCGGCGCAGTGCAGCGAAGGTCGAACACGTGGAGCTTTTTCCGGTTGTTCTGCAATCGCGCGCGCGGCAATGTCCTGCAGACGGGACTTCACGGAGCCCATACAGATGCTTTTCGGTCTTGCTGACCATCGAGCCCTGTTCGAGATCTGCAGATGTTTCTCCGCCGAGCGAGAGACTGAAAGAGAGCCTCATAGATACCGATTACCGACCGAAAACGCCAGGCTGTGGGAGAGGCGAACGGCTGAAAGCGATGTCGCATCACGGGTGACACCATTCTGAACTTGAAGACGTTTGACGTATTCCGCAAATAATGTCTCCTTGACCTTTTCGACGGCGAAGGCACGGAGGTGGTATCCCGCAAAAAAGTTTATGTATTTGTGCTCTGCCAGAATACCGCGAACGGAACTGCTTCCGTTTTTGCTTCCGCAACTCATCGATAGGGGAATCGGGAATCCTCCCTCGTAGTATCGTCGCGATAATGCGTGTAGTCTTTAGAAATTCTGAGCTGAGGGACGTCATTCAGAAACTTCGCGCTTTCAGGAAACTCATGGGAAGCTATAAACCAAGTGGAGTGTTTCTTCTCCCTGCGGGACTTCGATTCCCGGAGCTCGTGGATTCTGAATGATAAAGAATTGAATTCAGCGGCGGAAGGAGTGATGGCGATCAATGACAAACTTCCGAATGAGGGACGTAAAAAAATCCCGGGACGAGTCGGGGCGAAAACTGTATGAGCGCTGCGAGCATTTAATTCCGTTAATGATAAGATTGGACATCATCATTTCATTGGAAATGTCAAGAAAATTGGGACGTTCCCCGGATTCCACCAAGATTGCGGATTGCTTCTCAAAAACTTCACAAGTCGAAATGATGAGTTGGCAATCGATTATTCGCAGGATGTTCTGCTCTACCATGACGGAGGCTCCGCGCAAAGTGCGACGCCGGACCTCCGTGAGTAATGAGTGCTCTTTCGAAAATTGTTCATTCTTTGAACACTCTTTGTGGATTTACGATTGAGCTGGATCAGTGATAGCTTCGACGCTGAAGCTTCAACCCGTCGGAATCAATGTCTCAGACCATCGGGCTCGTACACATACACATAGTCAAGCTGCCACGAGGCGTTTTCGGAAGATGGCCGCTGCTCATCGCAGTGCATTCACAGTGCCGGAACCGCGATGGACTTCTTTTCGGGATCGCATTCGTTAAGAGATCCTCTCCCTCGATCGCGCCCGCGTTTGGACTACTCCGGATTCGTACATCGGATGACTGATGTCCGAACTTTTCATACTCGCGGAGGCGCCGAAATCCACCATTTAGGACGTTCTAAAATTCCACTCCGATTTATGTGCCTGACCCAATGGGTTCGCTCCCCATCGCTGCAGCTCGCGATCCAAGGTCGATAATTGAGGGTTCTAATCTGGGTATAGAATCGTATGTCCGAGAAATCTCTCAAGGTGCTTAATTCTGTCTCTGGTACGTAAAAAGCACCGATTTGATTGCGTTGAGACAAGCCTCGTCTTCTCGTCTATGCTCGCCTTTCCGCTCTGCACTTCAATGTCAGCATTGTGGTAATGGGGCCCGTGTCTGGATTGTGAATCGGATCTTGGTTTCTGTGCTTACGCAATTTTCTGTTTTTGAATCATAGCGACGCCGGTCTTTCGGGCATAGGCGGAAGTGATTACTGAACGAGAGCAGGCCTCAGAGAACAGAAATTGCGACCGGCGAAGTTCCTGCGGACATCGGGCGCGTTTCTCGGTCCACTTCTTCAATGAGCTTGACGATATCCTAACGTCGCTTCGAATTGATTGACTGACCGAAAGAAACTGAAATCGTACTCACGAAAAGCTAGCGTGCTCCAAGACACGTGGCCCAAGAAGACAAGTGAATAGATTCCTAGGATGTGGATCACGATCAGCTTCATTGAGCATCCCCAAGCCACCCTGTGCAATAATGGTGCTTTGAAGTAGTCATCGACGAACGACACCGAGGGTTGCTTGGCCGCAGAATTGTTGTTGTCGCTTGGCCGGTCCTCTTTACAGATTTCTCCACTGTACCAATCTCTGTGACCGAAACGGAGAACCTCCAGGAGTAACATCTCGGTCGAGAACGAGATTGGCGGTGAGAGAACTTCCGGAGCTCACTGGACTCGATTCGGGCACATCCGATCACAACGGAGCGGTGGCTCCAAAATGTCTTCCACTCCGTATTCCAGTCAACAGAATTCAAGTCAAGTCCTGTATACGAGAACTTTGAGCCGAGAAAGCGCGCCTCCACGCGCGAAGTTTCTTAGTGGGTGAGGAGGTTTCCGATGGGTGAGCGTCTGACGTATTCTATCACCAAGGCTCTGGTCCAACCCACCGGAATGGCAAATTTCCGTCTGATTTCATTCTGGCCAACAGGAACACGTGATAAGGTAACATGAATGTTCACACTCACACCGAAACCGATCTTGAAACGCCACCAGCCGCCACACCCGTGAGTGGGATCTCGAGCCATTCTGGAGACTATTCTGGTTAATATCATATTCGTGAAGCCGGGCGGTACTGCAGGGTCTCCTGGTGAAACCCCTTCCGACATTTTTCAATATTCCCGATTCCTTGGACCCCGGCGCTTATTTGCCCGATACATAAACACACTTCGAATAGATGGCACGTGATGACAACTGCCAAGGAACTTACCCGTCCTTACAATATTCACTGCGGGTCCACGAGAAGAGAAGGGTGAGTCAACGCTTCAAGCGTCATTCCTGAGGTTCGTCGGCCCATACAGAAGGTCACTCCGCAGATTGAAACGTGTCGTAGTGGTATAGTGTGCTGATGACGATTCCGTGAATCACTCAGGGAAATACCCACTAACGGTTTCGCGGAGTATTCCGAATGCTGGAGTCGAGCGGGCGAAGTGATCCAATTCCAAGAGTGATTAGTCAGGACACCGCAAAAGAATCGGTGGGAGTCTGCTCGACACCGTATCCGACCGAGGCTAGGTAGTTGAATTCTCCGCGGAAGCGAGGGACGCAAAAACCCGCCATTGAATCTGAGCGTGACGGGGAATTCCGATCCGAGATCTCTGAAGGATTCCGACATCCGGTCGTCAAGTCCAGGAAGCTCGTCGTCATCTCGAGGCCGAAGAGTAATCCATCGATCGCTTGCCGAGGGCGACAGAGACGAGATTTCGACACCTGTAAAAACCCTAACTACTCCAAGCTCCTAGCGGAGTAAAGCATCTCGACCAAGATGCAATGGCTGGAGAACGTTGTCTCGATGTTGATGTATTCGTGAGTCCCTTGACAGAACGTCGGTATCAGATGAATTCGATTTCCAGAGGAGCTCAACACGAGCTATTCACAGGTTGGCTGTCCTAGGGCAAAGAGAACCGCAGCCTCCCGAGCCGGTGAGCGCGTCCATCAACGGAGTGAAACTCAACTTGAGTGTCCTGATCGATGCCGTGAGCGATCTGCGCACTAAAGAGATGGTGAGTGTAGTCTCAAAGATTCTCGTTGCGGGGGAGAATGAGGCTGCAAGAGGAGTCCCAAGCTCCGCGGTCCATCACTGGCTTATTTCCGCAGGAATTCGATGTTCGTCTGATCTTGATAGGTCGGGCTTCTCTGAATAATCTGATCTGTCGAGTTTATTTGCGGAGCCTTCAGAACGTAACGCAAACCAGTCCGCCGACGAGAAATCAAACGATCGTCGTTCCGCCGAATATCCCGAACCAACCTCCGCCGTGGAAACCACCTACGTATTATTTCCCTGAAATATTCTTCAAGGTAGGATTTTGACAATCGTATGTCTGATTTCCCCCCACGGAGGAATCCCTGTCAGTATGACGCCACATCGGACTGCGAATGATTTATTACTTATTACGTCCTTCCTGTGCAAGTTCCGTCCTCAGTTCACTGGGGCTCCATAATTTTTTTCTCGAGAGATGGCGAAGAAACTCCCAATCGATAAATGGGGAACCCCGCTCCTAAGATCCCGCTCCTTTCTCCTCCATTTCGTGTAAACGGCATTCTGACCCGCTGGGCCTCAACTCCGGGAACCCTCGCAGGAAGCTCGATCAAGCGCTTACGTATCGAGGACCTCAGTCCCATTGACAACGAGGTACACAAATGTTTCAAGAAATGGGGCCGATGAATGTGATCCTCTGTACCTGACCAAGTGAGTGATTGCGGGCGGTGGGGTGGAAGCGAGCAGCGGTTTGTGATCCCTAGGATACTATGATGGAAGCTATCGTCAACTGCAAAGTTTTCGCGAAGTGACTGGTATCGGGCGTCGCATGTTTCAACGATAGGCCTCGCTGGTCTTCTCGCTTATCTGTTTGTCTTCGATACGAAAACGACGGCAGCCACGATGGAAGTCAAAGCATTCCTACATCCAACGACCAAGGAGCACACTTCCCCTCATCATCGTCTGAAGATACGAAACATAGTTTTCGAATGCTGGGCAGGAAATCACAATCGATGGTGTGAACCGTCATCACCACGGAGCTAACTTCAACCATCGCCTCAGAGCTGCGGCTTGCAACGCAGAAAACATGGCGGTGGTCTCTCTGCCTTTCTTCGCCCGCGGCGGAATCGGGGTAGGCGGAGGATGGGGGCTGTCTCTGTAGGAGGAGGGAGGAACTCGTTTGATCCTGAAGTGATGCGGGGAACCGGCCCCCAATATAGTTACTACTAAACGATATAATGCTGCTTCCTTCGCTAGTCGATACGTTTTACACATCGAAATTTTCCAAGCGCAGCTCGTTTCTCCAGTTCCCTCGCTGAAAAACTGACACTGATTTACAGGCGGAAGCTCACGGTTGCTTGCAGTCTTGAGTTCACTGATTTTCCATTGGATCGTCAATCATGTCGACTGACTTTGATGAGCTGTACGTATGTCCATACATAGCTCATCAGAACATGACACTACTCCTCTATTACTGTGGTGGTAGCGAGAGAAATCCTAAGCTCATTGGGATTCGATGGTGCCTACTCGAAATCGGAAAGGCGAATTGAATCAAGACAACATCTTTCTTGAATTTGCGTGATCTCCCGGTCGACAGAACGCGAATTTTTCTCTAAGAATTCGTGATCTTACTCCGTTCATTCAGTAATTCCATATTGTACGAATCGCGTCGAAATCGGAAGCACATGAATGGATGTATCGATCGGTAACATCCCCCCGATTCCCGAGGACGCCGGGTAGAACCTCGGTATCCCCGAAGTTTCTCGAATGCTCTGACGAATCTCGATCCTTTCCAGTCATCTACTCTCGGAAGCAGGTGGATATGACATGGAACACATCGATTCCTCTACTTGTCAACTCCGGAATTTTACTCACGGAATCTACACTGAAAGTCAGAAGGGTCTTGAATTGTTCCGAAGAATTCGTGAACCCAGGTGAGTACTCGAGAGACTCCATTGAGTCCCGAGAACTGCGTCGTAGATCTGGGAGAACCTTCTGTGAAACAAAACCTGTATACAGTACAAGCTCGATCATATCACACTCGATTATTTCACCCTAAAAATTTTGAAACTTGATTATATCACCTCATTCGTGTTCGAAAATGGTGATATAATCGAGTCGGAGATGTGATATAATCGATTCTCCACGGAAGTCTATGGAAACTCGATTAAATCACACTCTCGATTATATCACCATTTTTGAACACGAATTAGGTGATACAATCGAGTTTGTGCTGTATCCATCTTATTGATTTTCAGATTATCCCTCCGCAGCTCTTTGCATCGAATTCGTTTTCGAGCGCGGCTTGACATTCCAACTGATTAATACATTCTTACCATCGTTTTTCCTCGTTTTTGCGTCTCTTGGGGTTTTCCTAATGAAGCCCCAATCGGTGAACGAGCGAATCTCATTGAGCATCAGCACCCTGTTAGCCCTGTTCACCATATACGGACGGACGCGACAGTCCTTGCCTCCATCCGGGAACCTCACGGTGAGGATAAGTAGAGAGCTTATGAGTCTTTCCAACTTCTCGTAGAAAGGGTTTAGGCATATTCGCTGATTCAGGTTAGACATTAGGCATCATCAATAACACAAACCCTTCCCGACAGTACGCTGACATCTGGCTAATCGGTTGCTTGGTCTCCGTACTGATTGTTGTGATGGAATGCTGCATCGTGGAGATGCTCGCCCAATCGGAAACCGAGCGTAGAGAAACGAGAAAAAATACGCGGACCGATTTCCGCCGGGCAGAAGATCTACAACGCTATTTGCGGAACTTCGAGGTAGACAAGCCGAAGAAAAGTCAGGAAGTAATTGAATTTATCCGAATACGATCGCTTGTATAAGTTTCTTGAAATCTTCAACTTTCTGCGATCGGAGATAATTGTTCGGGCCTTGGTTCCGCTCAGAAAATTCGTAGTTCTTGCGTTTCTCCCCGAAGAACGCTCTGAACGATTCCAGTTGTGACACGGAATTACCGTAGTGTTATTCTTCCTCTCCTTTCAGAGTCGCTTCCCTCCGAAAATGAGGAACCAAGAAAAAATCGGACCGACGGACTTGCTGCGACGCAGGAGCTCCCTTCTGTCTCCTGAGCTCCCAGAACAAAAACAGAACTCTCGGCATGAGCTTGCCTCCAGAATCCGGGCTTTCCTGCGATTGACCGGAGAACTGAGGGAACGCTCATTGGAGCGCTTCTCAGCTGATCGAGTGGACTTTTGGGCGAGCGTACTGTGCGTCGGAGGTTTCACATTGTTTTGTTTGGGGTTTTGGGTCATTGCGGTCAAGAAAAGCTCCATAGACAGAGTCTGAGAACGGAGAATCCCTTTCCGAGGAACGGCGATCCGACGTCTCTCTCTCATTCGGTGTCAAGGGATGTGACTTATCTATGAGTAACAATGATTTCTTTCACGAGGATCGGAATTCTCTCTGTCAGGCTTGCTTCAGGATGGCTTCCCGTCAGATCCCCCGAAAGAATGGCTCGTCCCCATAATCTGTAACTTGAAATTCGTCTGCCGTCGTGAGCTCGGCCCTCACGGTTGCAAATCGGATCAAATTCTCACATAGATCAGCGTCATGGCTCACATCGATTTCGGATAAACATTCACTTGACGGTCTGAAATTACATAACTCGAAGGTCTCTGGGAACCACACCACGAATTCGTGCTTCAATCAGACTCGTCATCGAGGCCTGTTGATACAGAATCCTAGATCAGTCAGCCCCCAAAACAGCTGGGAATGCCTCTGGGGACCGCGTGCAGAACCGTCCCCAGCCGAGGCTAGAAAAGACTCGACTCCTACGATCGCAAGATGTCGTCATCGAAATACACCGTACCGACGTCTGATACGCTGCATAACCCTCGTGTTTCGACAGTCGGCGGAACTCCGCTTTTCACGCTTGACATTGCTGATGCCGTTCCCGTTCGCACGGGAATCAGCCATGAAGCCGCGGTCGATCAGTCCTTCTGACTCAGCTCCCGCTTCGCCATCCTTTCTATCTGTGCGAGAGTACCAGCATATCATGTTGTTCGGAGCTCGACATCCCTCTCCAGTAACTCATATCGTCGGCCCTGAACTCGGCAAGCGTAATACCGGAGGTACTGGCATAGCGTGCGTTTGATTGGGGAAGAGACCCATTGGCGCGAGAGGCCTCGAGGCTTGACCCAATCCATCTTGGAGTATTCCGTTCTGCGCTCCTCCGGTCGCATGTAGAGTCGACAAAAGTTGGTTAAGGGTTAATGCGACATTCGAGCTGCATACATCTCCGCGTCGAATTCGGAGGATGGAATCGATTAGAGCTGTTTCGCTCCAACCACATTTTCCCCGGGGTTCTTGATAGGTAAGAATACTGAATAAGACAATGAAGAGTCGCTGAGATACTTTCGAGGAAAACCACGAAAAATCCTCGGAGAGGGCGTCCGTATAAAAGACGCCTTGAAATCCCTGAGCATTTCCGTGGATACCTTCAGCACTGACTGGGTGGAAACTGTGTCGTATTCCGGTGGATGATCACGTCGCGATGTCAATTTCCCGCGATCTCATCAATGCATCATGGCATCAATTGAGGAACGTTGCCAATTGCACGGACATCAAGGATTGCAGACTGGACCGCGGTTTCGCAAACTTTGGTATGCATACTCGAACTCTCCTGCTAGCGGTGCATCCAAAGGAGATACTCGCGGAGGACAACTTCGTATCCATGAAGGACATTGCCAACGATGTCATCGGACCCTTCACAATGTTCATATTCCTCGATTATCTGCTCGCTCGGAGCATTCACGGACGCAGGCCGCACATGGCTGAGTATTTGCCCAATATCTATTGCGGGACCATCTTACAATCCATCAGGTGAGTGGCAATCCATCGCCACTTCTGGCATTCGAGTTCCCCCACCCCCGACTCCGGCTTGTTGGACTCCGAGAATTCGACTATCAATCACCGACTCCTGAGCTTTCGCCGTTCGGATGTAACCGCTCAAATGGAGGCTCCAGCCTGTATGTTCGCTATCACACGGGCAAACGAAAAGGCGAAAAGCAAAAAAATGAAGTGAACGGATCCGTCGGTTCCCCCCATGCTACGCTCACAATAATTTGTTGCGGAGGCACGGGAAGCACGGCTGATGACAATTTCAGCTCGCGATGGCCGGGCGTACTGATTCGGTTTGATCACGGTATTCCAGGTTTGTTTTCCATGCGGCGGAATTTTATCTCTACGATCAAGCGTATCAATGGTGGCATTTTGGCTTCGCGGACACAGTCGATTGGAGCTCTTGGACGGCGTGGATCCTCGTCATGATGGGAATGGATCTCTGCTACTACATTGTCCATCGATCCGCGCACGGTAATTCAGCTCTGATGAGGAAGGAAAAATCCGAACTCCGAATGATTCCTTCATCACGTCCTGGCAGTTATGAAATAACTCCTCAAGATAGTCCGAGGAACGAAGTCAGTGAACCACGAAGGAAAATCCCCCTATGGGAGGAAAAGATTACGTGATCTCCCGCACGTGCGTGAAGTCACGAGACAGCTTTCGGTGACACTCCTTCTTAATAGAAAACTTGCTGAAAAATTGGTCACGTGAATTCGTCACAAGGGCGGTCGCTTGCTCTCAGAATTTCCTAATTACCAACTCCCATCCCGCTGTGTCAATCTCATGCGAGAGCTGACTTTCACCCGCATTGGGATAATCCGTAAGACCACAATTCGAGCATAACATCGCGAATTCTCCGTATTTTCTGGGCGAATTCAGAAATGGCTATCTTCTGGACCATGCACCAGGTTCACCACAGCTCTGAGTTTTTCAACTACTCGGTACCCTTCCGGCTTCCTCATCTGCACGATTTCGTTCATTTTGGGGTACTTATCCTTTTTTACTTCTCCGGATCTAATCAAGGGATTATTCAATTCTGTCACGAGATACAGAACGCTTCCATCAGAAACAGAATATGTGCTCCTTTAAGCCCCTCTCTCTCTCTGTCTCAGTTGTTCTACGCTCCTCTGGCGCTGCTCGGAGTGCCAGTGCGTGTCGCCTTCATCCACAAGCAACTCAATCTCATATATCAATTCTGGACCCACTCTGATCTCGTACCGAAGCTTCCCTGGCCAATCGAGCTCATTTTCAACACACCCTCGCACCACAGGGTACATCACGCACGGCAGGCTAGGTGAGGCTTTGCACCGAAGGCTTGTTGTTCCCCCCGGTACTCAGTACCACTTCCGACACGATTTGCGGGTATTCCCATCCTCTCACCCCTATCAGGTACCTGGACAAGAATTATGGCGCCGTTTTCATCGTCTGGGACCGACTCTTCGGAACTTTTTGCGAAGAAGACGACGCAGACGCCCCTTCCTATGGGATAACAGTGCCCCAGAGGTCACTCAATGTCCTCACGTATCAGGTAAAAGGTCGTGGTGTGACGTCAAGATCTTGATGGAAGATTCTCGCTTGCTCGCGAACGGGAGAGATCGCCCCCTCAAGGTATCATCATTGAGCATTCACGCCTCTCGCAGGTGGCGGGCTCCATCGAACTCTTCGAGAAATTCAAGTCGATGGATGGCTGGAGAAACAAAGTCCAGTGTCTGATAAAAGGCCCTGGCTGGGAACCTGGATCGCCCTGGACTGGATTCATCGATAAGGTCTGCCGATTATTATCAGAACCACGATACTTTTCCGAACTGGAGGAATGCGACGACCAGTCTCGGAACACGAGTAATCGAAGACTCGGGCACCTTGCCGCGATGAGCTAGCAGTGGATCGTTTGCAGTCTGCACTCCCTCAGTTGATGAATGAGTTCTCCCGCCCCTGAACAGGTACCGGTTCCGGACCCTCAAGACAAGCCTGTTTTCAAAGAACTGTCCACGTTCTGGGAGGCTTTCCTCTTCGCTGACCTAATCATGATGTATCTGGTATTCATCATGTTCCTGTGCCGCTTCGACGTGAGTTCTAGTCGTTAGGAGATCCGCACGACCGGAAATCGCTCCGCGGGGCTCATGGAGCTTTTGATAATAAGTCACGACCATATTTCTTTTTCAGCAAATCCCACACAGCTCTTTCTATCTGCTGATAATTGTATTGTATTATCAAGCTCACTGTGCGGCTAAAACGTTGGAGGGTGACGTGGCTGCCGCCGGACTGCAGGCACTGAAGTTCGTCGGTTTGAGTTTCCTGGTTCCTTTTGGGCGGTCTATCTTCAGCAAGGTGTCGGCTCTGGAGTATATGATGCTGAATATTGCGGAACTCCTCGGATTCTCGATGTTCCTGTCACTGGGCTTATTCATTGTGATGAACTACAACGCTAAACGAAAACTTCAGTGAATCAGTCCCCAAGAAGCAGTCCCCCACCCCCGCCTGGCCATCGGCACCACCGCTCAGCGCAGGGGGGAACTGGATCCTTTTTCACGATTTCTATTATGAGTTCGAGTCCATTGGTCGATATCAATTATTTGCAATAAATTTCCGCGATGACTTTTGCATACTCAGCATCAATGACTCTCATCCGAAATCAATGGGATCCGTGGACAAACGTGTTCCTCGTCGGGGGTTGTAGAAAGTCGCAGGACCTGACAAGCTGTGGAGCTCTAAGGGACAGTAGTCACTGAAGGGGGACACGGGGCTCTGTAGACGGAATCCTCCGGTGTGTTCGGACACCAACGCATTAAAACTCAACGTCCTATCATCGGGGTCACATGGCGCGACCGGACGCGTTCACGACGGATCTATTCATGGTTCCGGGGGTTGATCCTCCGAGCTGGATTCCGATGAGCAAGTAGGTCGTCAATAAACTCGAAAACTGGACGGACGAAAGCCGCTTAGAGGTGGTGGCAGCGTCGACGAGATCGACTTGAGAATGAATTCGGGGGGATAGACTCTGAGGCTTGCAGTTCTAGTCTGAAGTCTCTTACCGTCAAGAAAGAGCTTTTAGTCACTGTCGCGAAGCCAAAGTAGGTAAAGCCGATATTCTCTTTAGCGAAGCGCAGCAAGAATAACGTTGCGAGAGATTGGAACTCGAGGCTCTGACCGCTACAGCACAGCAGTAGGACTTCTGAAGCGTGGGCCTGTAAGGGATTCCATGCAAATGGACTGTCGGGGAGCTGCGGAGATGTTTCATGTTCGAGTCGCGATACAGACTGAGACAAATATTCGGAGATACCAGATTATGAAGCTTGGCGGCTACGATCACCACCATAACTCCAGGAAGGAAAGCGCCAACCGAGCAAACACTCATACCGAGGTAAACATCCTACGATTCCTGGAACGACATTCTTGTGAGGATCGCTGTCCATATTCGAAAAGAGCAATCGTACAATCACTCTCACCTCTCTCAGCAGCAGAAGACTTGTCCCAGCGACCGCGACGATGGGGACGGTGGTGGTCAAGGAAACCCCGACTACGAGAGATGCGAACGTATCTGCGCGACGGATCATTTTCCAACTCTGGTCGTGTCTCGAAATGGCTTCCTGCATTTGATCGTCGTACATATCGATTAGCATCGAAGCTCCAAGCAATTCAATTAGTTATGCATTCCGGAAGAAAAGGATCGTGTACCCTGAGGATGCTCGAAGAATGTTTACGCACGGCTCGTTTGAATCTCTCGTGCGCTTTCAGCAAAGTGAACTGGATTGGTCCCAACGTGAGCAGGAGGAGGAGAGCGTTTGAGCTGACCAAGGTCGAACAGTGAAGGATGTTCTCGAACAGTATTGCGTAGCAGTACCTTCAAAGCGAGGAGAGTCCTGAGTTCATCCATCGTCGATGAATTCATGGGGGCGGGGCTGGAAATTCCCTCTTGACGAGTTTCTCAGAGATCTCACCAATGCTCGAAGGACTCGACGCGCGTCCCCGTCCTGTCAACGGAGACAATGCGGCACGCTGCGAAGTACAAGCAGAATGCGAGTAGACTCCAGCAGCTCAGACGCTTGAAGCGATGGTGGTGATATTGACAAGCTTCTTTCAAGGTCTCAACCGAGTTTGGATCCTCATTACCTAGAGGAATTCGGAGAAAGGAAATGGCTGAATCAGCAACCCATCCAGAAGAAAAAACGGTCTGATCGAACTCACTTCCAGTACCGAAGATGACCTGAGCCAGGACTTTCCCGTGTTTCGAACTGCTGCAAAAACCCACAACGCACAGGCGTAGTAGTGTTCCGGAAGCACTGATCAAGATATATACAAATCGTGTGGAGACGTGGGTTTGTCGTGGCGGTGAAGATAGACTGACGAGTCGGGGAGGACTGAAAGATATCGGGCTCATTATTTCAATTTAATCAAGCTCATGGAGTTTGTATTCATCGAGAGTCATCTCGTACCGGGGCCGGATACTCACATGGGGGCGAGCTCGGGCTTCACGTAGAAAACGACATCGACAACGGTGAATGCGAGTGAAATCATAGCCAAGGTCCAAGAATAAATCTGCCGACATTATTATTGTATCATTTCGAAATTGTTTGAAAACTGGAGCCGACCGACTCGGGGGCTTAAGCTCACCTTGAAGGTTTTTGAGGAGGAGCCCGTGAGTAATTTGCTCGGGACGTCGCACAAACCGGAGAGCTTGATGAGACAGTGTGATCGGTCGACACTGAAATCGACCGAAGATTCATTCACGTGCGGGCTCGGTTGTTACGCGCGTCGAATCGAACAGGAAGGAAATTCGAATACAGATCTTACGTCGCATAGAGTTCCTCGACACTCTGAGCATAATTTCCACGGGTCGGAGTTACTTCAATGGGATCAATCCACTTCACGTTGCCGTTGACGGGGCTGGCCATTCGAGACTGAGCGAAGTGATTGATGAACGGATGAAGAACCAATCATCGAATGAAACAAGGACGCGCTCAGATGAAGAGTCAATCCGAGGTGGGAGTGAGCTTTTTCAGCGTCTTGAGCAATAATCGAACGAGCTCCGCCCTGGCCCGACTTGTGAGGACACTTCGGTAAACATCTCAGGGCTAAGATACGAAACATTGATTCGACGAGTATGGGGAGGGCCGTCTGCGAAGCTCGAATCTCGCCACGTCAGAGCTGAGACGCAGATTCTCAAGCGCCTTGTTCACTTTTTCTTCCGGTTCAGAGCCCTGAGTCTCGAGGGTCTCTCCATGTGATCAGTTTACCTCGGGACCACTCGCGGCCGTTGACAGGCTCCACCCGCGGACGATCCGCCTCGTGGCTTGCTGTGCGGAGGATAGGAAGACAGCAGGATTCAGATCCCCAATCTCCTGCTTGAGGGGCGTTTTTTTTCGTAGAGGAATCACTGTTCGGAGGTGACGATAAAGACCCGGAAGGCCCTCCATGGATAGGAGCCGCAAATAGGATTCACAGAGCAAAATTCGCTTCCCTTCGAGGATCCCCGAGCCCAAGCGGAGTTCCGATCGAATCACAAGCTTTGAATCACGGAAAAAAGTTTCCCTCGACGTTGCAAAGCTCCAATCGGGAACGCGAACTCCGGAAGAGACTGCTCCGATCGAGAGGACGTTGAAATGACAATAATGGGGAAAACCCACCATCGATCTTTCCCGCATATCCATGCAGCGCAAGAAACCTGCTGAACCGGCTTGCGGAGAGGCTTGCAAACTTTTTGGGGCCAGTACCTTCCGAGACGTGGTTCCCAATCTTCTGTTCGTCTGCGGTTGGAATGGCGACGAAGGGGGACAAGCGTCTTGAGTCTCAAGAGTCGTAGAGATCGCCTCGGCAATCGCCTGTAGGAGGAGGACTAGAGTCCGAATCTTATCCGAGAGAGGCAGTGCGACTAATCTCATAGCGTCGTGGGTGGGGTTCTTCTTCATCCGTCCAGGAGCTCAGATTTATGTACGTACTTGTGGATACGCTGAGCCCATATTCGGGACGGTTCATCGATCTCTGACGCTCCGCTGTTTCAAGATTCGCATCACGCAGAACAAATCTCACTCGCCCGCGACCGCCATACGAAGGCACTCTTGACTTAGTTAGCGATCCGAGATCTTATGCTGGTCTCGGCCACGGTCGCAGCGACTTTCAAATTTTGGCGCGCTCACGACATGAGCGCCTGCCGTGAGTCGTAAATACGAAGCATAGAGCACAGCTATCACCAGCGTGTTTGGTGTTTTCACGAAATTGCAAATCCGCGATATATCGACGTGAATGTGCTCATATGGGTGTAGTGATACAGTGCAGGTGTTTGAGTAGATTGGGCGGCAGCAGGTGCAGTGCAAAGCCTGGAGAGAGCTTCACCCGAAGAGTGTGTACGGATTCCGTGAATGAAAACCTTAGACCAGCGTATGATACAGAATCTTGTTGTGAATTAAGCGGAAATTCATGTTTGAATGTGCGGAGGAGAGGACCAGTTCGGTGAGCGAATATGAGAATCTCTGCAGTCTGCACTCCGTGCTCTTGGCTGTCCTGGAGAAGAGAGCTCCACCTTCTGACTCTGGAAATGAAGCCTCAAGTGTCAGCGGATTCCGTAGTAGTCGTAGTCATATGCTCAACCTCTTTCTCAGTACGTAGCTCATTTTCGCGAGTGAAATTAATCACTCGCAGAGCTCCGCTCAAACCATTCCACCATCCGACATCTTCAGACGACCAAGAGGACTCCGAACGTGGAGGCTCTTTGAGGACTTCCGGGGAACCCTCGGAGCTGAAAACCTATTTTGAAAATACTCGCTAATCTCCGAGTGATTGATTCATCGGGGTATCGCCTAGCGTACTGGAGGAAATCTAGAGGAAACTACGAATCCCCGACGTCTAGTTGTCCGGCCTTCCATATCGACGGCTTGCGTGTGGAATACGAGTCGAGCTTCCCGCCCCGCGCGATATTCGATTGAAGTGCGTATTCGTCGCGGGTTCGAATCCCGTCCTGAGAGGAGCGACCCGAGAGTGCGCTTCCGGGAAAATTCTCCGGGCGAGGACCCCGAAATCAACGGCACTATGCTGAACAAACGAATCCGACGAGGAATCAGGATGTCGAGAACAGCTTTCAGAAGGTTATACTCGGCAGCTAACAGCGATGTGGGCGTTGTTAGACTCGTCTGTGAGCAGATGCCTTCTATTGGTTGGCGGATCTATACTGCTGTCGTTGTTGCTGCTGCTGCAGTCGTCGTTTCTGCGGTGATGTCGCTGCTGCTGTTGGTTCAGTCGTCGCTATTGCTCGTGCGGCCGCCAACTACGACGGCCACTACTTTCGTCTCGGTTCAGACAGGGGCTCCCCGCTGTAATATCATTCAACTCATGCTGGGGAAAACCACTAATACTGGTACGGCCATGCGAATCTTTGTAATCGGAGCGGCAAACTATTGACTTTGATTCTGAATAGCACATTGATTGTCGAATATACTCTCCTCTCGACAATCGGAAACTAAGCCGACTTGTTTGTTTGCTTGTCTGATCCACCGTTCTCGGGCCGCGACGTTCCAAGCAACATTGTTGAAACAACTGCAGCCAAGAGGATCGATGACTCCGCCACAATCACACCTGCCTCGCAGGTAGAGACTAGCGATCGGGCGGTATCTCGGGGTAGCATCGGGCTCCGACACGCTGAGGTGGGAACACCTGCAGAAGAAGGCCTCGAGGAGGTCCTCGGGCTATCCGAGTGTGGAAATGAAGTCATTTCCATCTTGGTGGTGGGACGCCAAATTCAATCGCTGATCCTCGGACATCAGTTCCCCAGCCCTTCCCAGCCAAGAATCCCGAGAGACGAATCCGGAGTCTGTTCCATGGAAAAAATCATGAGTTCTGAGCCCGTGCGAATTATTATTCCCCGTAACTCCATTCGGTGGCGCTCATTCCATCGAGTGAGAGCAGCGGCAGTCGTACTGCCGTCACCATTAGCAGCCCCAACAGCAGCAACAGCTAGAACAGCTTCTGACGAGCGAGCGAGCGAGCCAGCGAGTAAACGAACGAACAAACGGCGGCTGGTGGAGCAAATAGACTTCCACCTGCCGAATGCCTGCCTGCCCGCGAGCCGGCCTGCCAACAAACACTACTGAGCGAGCCAGCCAGCGAGCGATTGGCTCGCTGCATAGCGACTTGCCTGTTGCTTGCCTGCCTGCCGGCTCAGCTGGGCGACTGACTGACGAACTGACGGTCTTACTGCCAGCCAGCCTGCCTTGTCTGACTGACTGACCGAGTAAGTGGCTGCATACTAGTAGTTGAATCGACCGAAAGAATCGCACATTTCTTTGCTTGTCTGTCGGGTTGCGTGGCTGCGTTTGTCTATTATCCGCTACAACTGCCGGTGCTGCTGTCGACGCCGCCGCCGCCGTGTCCGCCGCTACCGTTTCTGCCACTGCAGCCACTGCCTCAGTCGAAATGCATGCTATTGTAGTCAAAGGTGGCTGCCTCCTTGCCTGTCGCCTGTCTGCAGGCAGACCTCAACTGTCATGGAGAGTGACTGATCGTAAAAAGCTTCCAGTCGAAAGGACTGGATCCATTTTCTGAACACTGCTCAGGTTGGCGGTAACGATATCCAATACCAGAGGACATTTCTCTCCTGGCTTAGAATGAGCTGGAGCGACATGCGACTACAAATGCAACTCGGTCGGAACTACCTGCGCGCTGAGCCTGGGGAGACCCGGAAGTCAAAGGCGAGCGTCGTGCGCCGCATTAAGTCCATGATATTGGTAGAATTACGCGGGATCGTGTGCTTGGCATTCGTCGATTGGGAACCCCTGGAACCAATATGTGGAGCCTTATCGAGAACTCGATAGCCCGTAGGTGGGTTTCCGTCCAGCGGTCTGTCGACAGCCTCGGAGATCGCCAGACAACTGCCTGACCGTCGCCTGACGGACCGGTCGACACGGAGATAGGCCTACGGACGGACAGACGGCAGACTTGTGCGCGCGTTGAGAATAGAATGCCAAACAAAATCGAATCGCGGCTTGAATTGGAGCATCGACTCTGGATAGCGCAGCTGGCATGGCCAAGACGTTGCTTGGAGGTTTCGTTTGCCTGCCAGTTTACCTGCCCGCCGATCGCCAGGCCTGTCTGCCCGCCCGCCTGCCTGCCTGCCTGCCTCCCAGTTTACCTGCCTGCCTGCCTGCCTACACGTCTGCTGCTGCTGCCGTTGTCTGTCTCCGTTCCTCTGACAAGACGCTGCAACTGTCGCCACCACCATCACCACTACTGTTTCTGCTGCTGCTGTGGTTGTTGTGACTGCTTGTGTCGTCGTTACTGCCACCGAAACCTTCGCTCATGATGATCATTTCGGCTCGAGGTGTTCATCCTGAATCTCTAAGAGCAGGGGCTCTCAGATCTGGATTCGCCGAGCGTATAACTGAACTCAGGTGCTTGAACTCTTGCCGATGACCTCGGTCACGGCGAACGCTCTGCAAGTCGGAAATCCTAAGCCACGACGCATTTCCGCGAGAGAGTATGTCTTTCGTGGTAGGTCTTCGAGGCTTAGTGACCGTCGTCGTCCTTCTCTCGAAGGGGGGGGGGGGGGTCGGCATGATGTCGCTCATTCGTTTTCGGAATTAGAATACATGCGCAGTCTTCAAGCATTTTTTTGCGGCAATCCTCAAGCGATGTCTCATCCATGTTCACTTAGGAGAATTCACCGCCGATGAAAGAGACGTTGAAAATCGGCGGGGAATACTACTTTCCGTAGCGGGATCGGATAACCTTGGAGGCCGAAGGAAGAATCGCTCTGCAGGACTACGGCGGGAGCGGGAACGACGCAACTTGCGACGGAACTTGCAGCTTTGTGTCGGATCTACCCCGGCGCTACATGCAGAAAAGTTCGAGAGTTTTTCGGAAGCCATCTGTGCCCCGATTCTCGGTGAATCCTCCGAAGAACCCTTCGATGAGATTTCGCGCCTCGGTAGTCCAGTTTCCACTCCCCAAGATTCTCCGCCGGTCCGCACCCTTGGAGCAGCTCCCGTGACGCGCGTAACTGCGTAAAAGATCTCTATAGACCGTTCTCATCGTGTGTCATTGTGAATTGGATTGGGTGGATGTATTGCAATGGTCGTGGAGTGGGCCCCGATCTCTTTTGACAGCTTTCTTAGCTGACAGCCGATGTATCGGATGCCAAGTAATAACTTCTTCTTCGAATCGCTTCGCTCAGCCTCAGTGTCTTGAACGTCTCTTGAGATCGAGTCCGCCGGAGGATCCTTGTGTCGCCTCCCCTAAAGTCCATTAGGAGAAAAAGAACCCTGATCCGGAACGAAGTCTCCCGCCGGCTCCACCTTTATTCTTGGCATCTCCATAGAAGGGTCCAATATCAGACCGAAAACGTGGTATCCTCCAGTTGAGGGAGGGAACTCAACTTCGTCAAGAGGCATAAAGAGTACTGGCAAATGGGAAAATCGTTACTAATGGGTCGTTCCCCTTACAGAAGGCGGTCTCAAGCGAATACATTGGATTTTCTGCGCTATCTCACATGTTCCTCCAAAAGCAAATAAAAAAAGATCAGGCTATGTCTCATTCTTAGTACCCCTATCCCCGCTGAACCTTTCTACTAACGCTTTTCCCTCATTATCGTCGCTGATCTCCGGAGGAATTATAACGTTTTTCCTTGGCTTCCATGAACAGACAACAAATTGCTTCTGTCTCCGACGAAACTTGAGTCAGGCGGATCCATGATGGCCATGAATTCACTCTTCAGTAACGGGGATCCCTGCCCAAGTGAGCTTAGATTATCTTCGAATCCCCTATAACAATCGAGGCTCTCTAGCAGTCATCCGGCTAATCGATTTCATGAATTACAGATGATTTGCTATTATTCAATCAGCAGTTGGACGTCGTCAATAGAAATCTTCCCTCGGGATCTGCTCTAGCAATCCCTCAGGTTAGTTCTCGAGAGGAGAAACGTTCTTTGGATAGTTCCCATCAGTCCGCTTTTATCGATATTTTCTGCGACCACATCCTGTTCGTTGCAGATGGATCAACGTGACCCGATGACAGGGCGTTACGTGTGTAAATATTGTTCCTATTCTACTGTTCAGAGGTGAGCGAAGAGCACTCGTTGACCCGCACGATGGGAAAAACTTTGTGAATTTCGAACCCGATCGAGACACCCGTTCGGGCGCAGCCAGGGATCGGTCGAGCTCGGTAGTCGGATCCGAGTCATGTCGACTGAGATTTACCATTTCGCTTCTAGGACCCATCTAGCGCGGCATGAGCGTTCACATACGGGCGAGAGACCATTCAAATGTCAGTTTTGCTCCTACAAAGCGACGCTCAAAACGTGCCTCATCAATCACGAGAGGTGAGTTCGGTCCGAGAGTCCGAGAGGCGTTTCCCGTGCCTCGCCCCCGGTCTCCGGCGTGAAAGGAAGGATGAGTTCCTCTTCGCTGCAACGCTGTTGAGAAGACGCCGAGAGATAGCGGATTTGGCGAGACCGCGAATCCGCTTACAAGTGAAGCCGGTTTTCGGGCGGGGACTAATGCTCTATCTGAACTTCCAGAACACATACCGGGGAGAAGCCGTACAAGTGCAAGTTCTGTAACTATTGTGCATCTCAGAAGGTCACCTTAGAGCGACACCAAAAAACGCACTTTAAGGTAATTGGACAATAATACGAGAAGGGAATTCTCGGAACCGCGCTCGCCGAGATTCCGGCTTGTTCCTCAGAATTCCAATACTGTATCGGTTTATTCCAAAATCATTGAGAAGTCCGCTCGGGCTCACCGGACTTCGACTTTGAATGGTCAGGTCACGACTAGATCTTGCTCTATCTCATTTCAGAACACACAATTGGCGACACTCGATTAAAGATGCGATGGGAGACAATTCGAGAATGTTTTGCCTCATCATCTTACTGCAAATTGAATTGTTGCTCGGTGACATCATCATCAGACCCGATAGAAAAGATCACCATGTGCACATATATGCAAGATGAATCGAGTATACGAAAGAGTCGTTTGGCGCATTCAGTGAGTTCTTGAACTCCCTGGGACCTATCCGGTCAACCATCTGCAGAGGATGTGGTCAACGCTCCCAATACCGCAAAACTTGTTCTCTGACTCGATGGCAGCGCGCTCACGGGGGTGTGTGTGCATGCGCGAGAAGCAATGGCGTAGAACGCTCGCACCGAAATTGGGAAACTTCGGAGACATACGGCTCTTTCTGGATGCTCATTCCGAAGCAATCGGATCCCTGTGTTCAACTCCGCCGAACAGTGAGAGCTCGTTGGAGCGGGGGCTTATTTCGGTCACTTGACCCGGACTTCGCTCGTCAGAGTTCAAATTTCCGCATCTGTCTCATAATATATTTCCACAGCATATCATAATTACAGCATTCAATGCCTGAGATACACATCCTGAAGTCAAATAATCTCCTCACTTTTTTGTTCCTACAATCAGGATTACTGGTCCGTTCTGCCAAATCCTGTCGTCTGAGACTCGGCATCGTCATTCGGGATTCAAACCCGAATTCTTGTTAGAGTAGAATTCACGTCATTAATGTTGAGGAGAACGATTCCTCTCCGTCGATCCAGAATCACCAGATAGATCGACGAAGATACACATGCAGCTGGAAGGATTACTCCCCGAACACAGCAATACGGATACCGCGATTTGTTTCGCCGCGGCCTCCATGACATCCCCCGCCCAGATCAAAGGGATCTGTTCGCATGGGCTTGGAATCTTGAGCTTCATCACGCTGGATGTATTTATCCCCCGCATTCCACATTGGAGATGCCGTAGCACTCGATTCCTCGCAAGAGTGAGATCCTGCTACCGCACGGCATCGGCCACAGCGACGAACGGCCGATTCTAATCGCTAATGAGATGGACAAATCGAATTATCCAAACCGAACCATTGACGGGATATAGGTTCGATCCGCAGTGCGCTTGCCGAGTGAGCGGACTCAGAGGCGGTCTTGATATCGGAAGCTTAGTTCCCGAATCGTGCCTTATAGTAAGTTGAATTTTTACGGGCAGAGCAGAAAACGGTCATGTTAAGAAATGCTATGATTTCAATCGTTCGGCAAACGAGCGGGTTATATACATGAATATGCATAGAGCAAGACTATGAACATAGCGACCACGACAAGAGGATTAGTGTCATTTAGAGGATGGACACAAGCTGTGGTCAGTCATCGGATCATGTGGAAGAAAACATTGACTCCGAAGCAATGAGGAACCTTCAGACAAGACTTTCCGCGAATAACCTGACGTCGCTGGAGCCGAGTGCTGCGTCGTCTTCAATGGCGGGAGCCCGCTTCGATTTTGTGACTTCCGGTGGACTCCGCGACTGATGAATTTCTAGATGATTACCGTTAGGATCTGAGCTCGAATGAGGACTGATGATCGGACTCTTGTCGGGTGATCAGGTAATCTGACCGATAAAGTCATGGACAATGTGTCTGCATGGACTCTAGGGAATCTGGAATTTCAACGGTAGGCGGAGCGGATCGATCCCGATAGACGTTTCTAATGTTTATACGAGGGAGAATTATGATACCGGGCGCCTCAAACTTTTGTTGACGAATGCTTTGATAATGCTGATCTTCACCTGAGGAGTGTCGATGATAAATGATAATCATACGAATGAAGGATAAGCTATTTTGAGAACGGTAATAAAATGATCATCTTGATCAAAGGTTGCGTCAAGCACGACTACCTCTGTATACCCAGTTTTCTTTGCGTAGATACTCTGACCCACTATCCTCGGCTGCTAGAGTCCCTTTTTATCTATGAGGGCTGGGAACTTTCGAACTTCTCTAATACTAGGAATATTTACCTTGCAGATTCTCATGGTACGTCGCGGATTCGAGTCCCGAGCTGAAGGGTGCATTTCCCGGCAGCCTCGAAGACTCGTCAAGGAGATCTGTTCAATTTAATAAAGATTCAATGTTCTGGAAGTCGTCGAATCGGTTATTTCCAGTTCTTGCACCGTTCTCGACACTGGTGCTTCCTGCCTCGAGTGTGCAAGTGCTGACAAGACGTCCGCCGCGTGAAGAGCGTAATCTCATGTTCCCGATATCATTTTCAGATTTAGACTATTCAATGAGTCCTGTGGACATGATGCAGTTCGCGGATAACACGGCGCCGATCACACCCATATTCACGTCAACGCAAAAAAGTCCGTTGTTACCCAAGGATCAAACCAAACAATCGTCATTGAAGTGTCGGTTTTGCAATTTCACAGCGAAGTTCGCATCTTGGGTAAGAACCGAACTTGACTATTGGACGCATTCCCGACGACGACGAACACGTCGAAGGCCCACAGAGACTATGATTCAATCTGGAATTCGAGACACTCATCGCTAATTCAAATTCCAGGTAGCGAGACATGAGCGGACCCATACGAAGGAGAAACCATATTCGTGCTCGTACTGTGGGAGCAAATTCAATCGGAAAGACGCTCTGACAGTTCACGTTATTACGGTCCACAAAGGTTTCGGGGTGGAGTACAGCGGTAGCTCTCAGCTCGGCAAAGAATGACTCGCGAAGTTCGTTTCTACTCGCCGTCGTGCAATCGAGTTTTTCGAATGGCTTCCAGGACTCCATTCGCTCCTACGACCATCTGACATCTTGGAACCTCGATCGTTAGCTAGGTTCCAACGGAGTCATCGTCGCAGGGAGAGATCTCGTCGATATTCCGGTCGTGGCCTTCACGTTGAGCGTAGAGAGGAGTTCGAGGGGTCGAGTCACATGAGAAACTCTCGTACCATATTTATTTATAATAATTCCACTGTTATTGTGGAATTCTTCTGCAATACTTATTTCGTTAGTTTGGAGTTGAGTCGCTTGCGCACGTGGTTAGCGCAGACGAGAGCGCCTCGTTGAGACGGTCATCCGTAGAAGTTAGATGATGTCCTCTTAAGGTATGCTCCCTTACGAGTCAGAAATAAGCCCATTTATCATCGATATTTGGTGCAGTATTCTTCCTGATGTGCCTTGAGTCACCACTATGAAAATATCATCACACAGAAAATATTATCTGCTAGTCCAGAGAAGCCTTACAACAACCATACAAGCCAAAGATTGTTACTAGTTCATGATCACAAAGATTTTTCTCGTATGGATGCTATGCTGCCGCGTCAAGCTCCGCTGGTCTTTTCTCGGATCGACGCAGCAAATGCACAGCTGCACCGGAAGGGTTGACCTTCCATCCCGAAGCTCGATTTTTGTGCGCGTCGTTTTACCTAACCGAACCCAAAAGCTGTGCGCCAAAATGAACATGATACACGGAGACGAGAAGATTGCGAACAGTATGATTTTGTGCATCAAAGTCAATTTAGCGTGTGAAAGCCCTAATAATCTCCCTTCTTCGGTGGGAAGCCTCGCTGGATGCAGAAGGAATTTCGATCGTTCAACCCGATCGAATGAGAACCGTGGAACTCCATACGTCTCACCGCCTATTCGTCATTGCGTTCCCTCAATATCGCTGTGACGTCAAGGTTCCGGTGTCTAGTCGGTCTGCAATGCCGTGCATATTTGAATCGGCAGAGTTTCTGATCGAATGAAGACGCCACTGGCTCTGAGCGCTTCGGAATGGCGGACACCTGGGAGAGTTCGCGTGTGCCATCGTACGGGGAAAAAGGAGATCGGCGTCCTTTTCTGTGCAATATAAATACAGCTCGGTGGCTCCGTCGCTCATGCTCGGGACCGTCGCAAATCAGCCATTAGATTCAAAGAAGTCATTTGAGCTCCTCAGAGAGGTCGGTCCGATGCATCGAGCTCAGCCGCTGCAAGATCCAAGCGTCGCAGCCGACGCCGCAGAATTTTCATCTTGCCTTTTATGTCGATGGGTGTTTCGAATGTATGGCGCCATATAGAACCCGCTTGCGGGATTGGTTGTATCCTCGCTGAGTCAGAAGGGAACTCCGAGCGTCGATCCGCGGAGCTTCCGACGGGTCAAATCGCAGCGCTCCCGTTCAGGAGTGCCTTTCTGACGGGAGAATTATTCCCATGGAACTTGCTTGGCAAATGTTCTACACCGCAATACATATTCTCAGATTCGCGAGCGTAAGGGTGAGAGATCGGTGAATGCGCGACTGACAGACGCGGCCCCGACACATCGCACTTCTTCGACCATTGTGTCGTCCTGGCGCGGCGTGAATACCGATGAAGTCATCATTAGTTCATGATAAACGAAGATATCCATGGCGGCGATGATGATTAAAGAATCCTCGGTGCAATAAGAATTATTTTGGGTATTCTATGTAATATATCATCAAAGATGAGACAAGAGGAGAATGAGCACAGAGAGACGCTTCGCTATAAAGATAATTGTATAGGATCATGAAGAATAATGCCAGGTGTGCATATGAGTCCTCTGAGATGGAGAAACAAATAAACCTTGAAGGTGTAATCTCTTCCCGACTCTTCTTCTGTCCCCCCGTCTGTGTGGCTGCATAAACGTATTTCAGATCAGGCAGGAAGCTTTGCTCCCCCGCCCTATTAGCTGACTGCAAGGAGAGGGCTCGTTCCTGGAGACCGTACATTCATAGCTCATGGTCAATATCACCGATGTTGAACGCAACGTGCGCCGAGAGCTCCCTCAAAGTCACTGCTTTTTGAGAGTCTGAGAATGCTTTCGCCCTGGACGAGGAGTCGTTTTCCATGCCCCCAGTATCGTGTTTGCGCTCATTTAAGGAGTTGTCTGGCGGATCGACCCCACCGCTTGAGGGTCGGAGATCGTCGCCTACTCTCTTTCCGCTCCACCCAGAGGATGGCTCTTGAGCGCCCGGCTAACCCTCGACTTCAGCGCTCTACGAGGCAGTCTATAGCCTGATTGCCTCAAGTTAAAATAATTAAAGGCTAATAATTAACGACGTGACCCCGGGAAAGCATCATCGTTCAGAATGCTCTATGAAAGCGCTTTCTCTCTTAGATTTTAACTTCCGCGGAACCTCAGTATCGAGTGCACCGTCAAATCAGGGACGTCCTTATGGCGCCCGACTCACTCTCTCCTCCTCGCCCTCTCTCAGATGTGGCAGCTTTGTGGTACCAAATGCGAGAGCAAACACCACAAAACGATTGGCAGCCATCTTGGATGTTATTGTCCGACTCTAACACATCGACTCTAGCACAAGCCCGTTCTTAGAGCTTGTGCGTGCACGGAGGAGATTTCGTCAAAGTTTCGACGTCATTCGTTGATGAACGCCCGGAGGAAGATTCGTTGTGACCGCCCGTGGCATCGGTAGCGCGCGGAGCTTCCGAGCGGTGTAGACTACATTACTTTCCCTGACTTCATTGGACTGGCGAGAGCGGCTTTGGCGGCTCGACCCGACGACTATTTGAGTTCCACTGGGTATTCCTGAGTATATCGCTTCAGGCACGCTAATATGGAAGAGTCCGCGGTCAACGAATACGCATCGTCGCTCAGTGAGTTGGTCACGAACTCGAAACCACTGATATCGATGCTGACCATCCTTGCGGACGAAAATAAAGCACATGCGGCGAAGATCGCACAGGTCATCCAAAAATACCTCGAAAAGGTGAGTGATCTCGGCATATCTCTGTTTTGTAGCGTCAGCTCACCGAATAGTATGCTCCATGATATTCAGACTCTTGCCGCAGCCCGTGTATCCGCGCGAGTCAAGCTCCCGATCCCACAAGATCAGCCGGATTAGCATTTCGGAGGAGCTCCAATGTTGTGACGTTTCGGTGCCAAACACAGAACGAGGTCTCCGAACCGCGCATTGCGATTTTCGGTGGGATTGCGGAAATGAGCTTCGTCGTATGAGTCGCTATGAGTTCCGAATCATGGGAACCAACTCGTCGTTGGTCATTGCAAGACGCTCAGCGGAAGAATTGCGTAGCCAGCCATATGTGTCGAGCTCCCTGGAGCCCTTTGTTGAATCGAAGCACCTTCAACATTGAAGTTGATTTGTTTATAACCAGACAAGGTTTCGGAAATGCCCGGTGAGACCCACCGATTGCCTAACCTCGAATTTCTGCGCTTCCAGAGTCCGACGAAAATCAAACTCCTGTCTCTTTATTTGATCGACTCCATAGTCAAAAATGTTCGTGAACCATACATCCAGATCTTTTCGGAGAACCTTGTGCCGATGTTCACCGAGGTTTTCGAGGGGGTAAGTTTAGCGCCAGTTCAGAGCCGGAACTTAAGATCTTAGCTCATGAGAGATGATACTCTCCACGAATCTAAGTTTTAAGAAATCTTCTCAAACTCTTCTACGAGGGAATCAGATGCGAGAGGGGAACAAATCCCGAGACATAGCTCAGGATTCCGTGAGCTTTCCTTCTGAGAACACGTTCGGGAGTTCATCCTGTGTCTGAGCAGCTTTCCAGATCGCCTGCCAGTTTCCGGCTGAGTCCTTGGTTACACTGGGGTTCCGAACTCTTTCCGGAAACTCGGGGTCCGTCTTAAGCTTCTCAGAATTGAAACCTTGGTACTCAGATTCCGGAATGTTGATCTAAGCGCTCTCGGAGCTCGGGTTCCGCGATTCAGATTTCGGAATTTTGGCTTTGGAGCTCTAATCCCGGAACTAAAATTCCTTCGACATTTTTCGTCTCCTCTCGGTTTCCCGGAGATTCCCTCAGGGTTGTGTTCGACTGAGGTCGACCAAGTAATCCCCCGCATGATTGCCGTATGGCTTCCGTTTCGGGAGTAATTCACCTTCGGTACGAAAATGCATCCGAATTTCAGGGCGATGAGAAAGTTCGAGCAGCTTTATTCAAACTGCGACAAACGTGGAAAGGCATATTCAGCGAGTCTAAACTATATCTAGTGGACATAAGCACAAAACGTATGGACCCTCAATGGCCCATAACGACCTCCACCGAGAGCCTGAGGGCGCCGATTCATCTCAATCCGAAGTTCTTCTTGCGGCAAACGAACGGAATACCAGAGGTTAGATTTGCCGTATTTTCGTCGGGCAATCTGGAACCCTGCTCAAAAAGATGTCATGAGAGAAGGTTACTTGATGGGGAGGCACCGAGTTTCTTCTTTCCAATGATTCGGGACTTTCGCTTCCAGCAGAAGACAAGTGAAACGACCGAAAGTGAGAAAGTTGGAGATGAGAAAAGCGACAGGCCGCACAGCAATCCCGAAGATTCGCACCGGGACGATAGGGGACAAATAAACCTCATGAGCGCCGATGCGGGGATTCAGAAACGTACCGACCCTCGGCTGAAAAAGGTGACTTTCTCAAAGTGACGTGAAGGCCCGTTCAATATACGCTATCCGATATTCTTCAGGGTTTTCCCTAGCGTCCGAAGATAGGACATGCTTAACGCCTGGAGCCTTATGCCTCTATGAAATGACTTGGAATTCTCTGTGTCTCTTCAGAAGGACTCGGGTGAGAAGAAAACTTCGTCGAAGACATCTGCAAGGCATCAAGAGAGTTCGGAAAAGCGCCGGCCATCTCCGAAGTCGTCATCTAGGTCTTCGACGCAGAAGTCCGATCACAAGAAAGCAGTCAAGCGAACTTCCGAGGAACCCACGTCTCTTGAGCCGAGCTTGGCGGATAAGGAGGCCGCAGCCATCCTGAGCGGGGATGTCGACCTCAGACTTCTGGCACCCGTGACGAAAAAACCCAAGCACGAACTGCAGGATGACGGAGATCTTCCAATCGCTGACGTTGACCTCAGAATAAGGTAAGTTCACAACCCATGCAGCTCACGATGGGTTCATGCCTGATTGTAATCGTCCTCTTCCTGAACTTAATCAATGCTAAAATAGAATTCTCCCTGCCCAGGCCGGAGCCTCTCGAGGGTGAATCGGGAAGTACACTGGTCGCCGTCAAAACTGAGGTCGCTGGAGCCGGAGAAGCTGTCGATACAAGTACGCGCAGAGCCAAGACAAAGGGAAGATCGAAGAGCCATTCCACGAAAGCTGCGTCGCAGAGATCGGTTTCCAGCGGTAAGTCTCCATCTTTATTGTTTATTTATTCATTCGTTTATTTATTTCCTTATGTATCCTCAGATTTCCTGCTAGCTGAAGTTGATCGTTCTTGAATCCGTCGACTCGTGATCAGAAGTATTCTCGGTGATCGTTACAGGTGGCCACAATCGAGTACCGCAAGGCGGTGCGGCATCGCAGCCGGACTCCTCCGATCCCAAGTTCTCCGATCGGAACCTGAAACCCAAGGGAGCACCTGAGATGGGCCTTCCCGCTGCTTTGAAGAACAAGGGTATTCGGGGTATGTTTTCGGATTCCTTCAGCCGCGAGAGGAAAGAATCAGGCGATACGGATCCTGAGCCCTTCGGGACCGGGTGTGAATATTCTACGGCACATCATCGCAAATTTTGCTTTATAGTGTCTGACCCTGCTCCGGACTCGGGACAAATCCGTCTTGACGGGAGAATGAGGGAAGTGCGCTTCGTCGACGGAATAGCGGTGGCCATCATCGAAGAGGTGCCGCCCAATCTCGTTCGTGCTCGGCAAATCATGTTCCGTGGTGGCTCGAAAAAAATCATCATCAATGACACTGTGAGTAATTCCGTGAAGCTTTCATAGCCCCAAGCAGTTGAACCAAATTCAACAGTTTTCACGCAATCGGTGATTGAAACCTCTCTGTCTCCTTTCAGATCGAAGTACTGACAGCCTTTGACGGTCGCGAGCACGATTTCAATTTGAACGGAAATCGCCACCGCATCCGATTCGGAGCTCCTTTGAGGGAGCTGTATATTGGTGAGTAAATTTCAATTCATGTTTTTTCATGCCCCGATCCTGAATCCCATCACAAGGGAATTATATCGTCGGCGCCCGGTCGTACTGAAATAAACGTTTATGCTGCTTCCAGATGGTATACCGTACGCGTGTCAATTCAACGGGGTTCCAATCTATGTCAGGAGCCGGGAGGACGTGTTCTCAGTCACCTTACACCCGCCGTGTCCGAGTGTCAACGACAAAATGGAAGCCACCCCTGAGTTATTGAATAAACTCGGTTTAAAACCCCTTCTTCCGAATCCCACAACTCCTTTCGTAGGAGCTCCTTTCCAAGGAATGCCAACCATCCCGGGACACCCTGCAGTGAACGGCACGAACTCTGGGGTAAGTCAAACCTTGAAGTGGTCATCTACTCGTGGAACGGGCTGCTCGGTGAGTCGCGTATCTGTCGGGTTGGAATCAGCGACATCCTGGCGATCGAGTTCTCTTCTCGAGTGTGCCTCCTGAAAGTCTCCTCATAAGAAAGTCGTCAGAGCTTCGTTCCGCGGCGAGATGTCCACTCCTGGTTTCCACTAATCAAGTATCTGAGATTTACAGTCATTATTGCGTAACAAAGTGGCACGGGGATCGACCTCTCAGTATAGTTCGGCTTGGGACTTATTTGAGCTCAGAGGCACAAAAACAGAGTCTGTGATATTTTCCGATCCCTTTTCACCGTTGATCGGCGATTTGAGTCGATGGTTGGCTTCATGAACAACCCATGAGCCCGAATTCGAAAAGCACATCCGAAAGATAAGTATTATCTATCTGGCGGAGAATTCGAATAAAAAACTTGATTCTTCGGAGTTATGGAGACTCTTTATTTAGGAGATTTTTAGGTATACCATGCACTCGGTGGTGATCATCTACGCCGTGTCACCGGAACCTCCCCACGGTTCGGGGCCGGCATGGAATCATCGTAGCCAATTCCGATCATAGGGTTCATCTTGCTAAAACCGTCTTGAAGGGTCGATATGCCAATAAAACCGAGAGCTGATCCAATTATTCCGTGTTTTGAATATTGATCGTGTGGAACCGAATCCCGGATGACCTCATTTGAGAGTTCGGAAGAACGAGACCGCTCCAATGGTCGGGTCGGGACGGAAATGTCACAGATGTCATCGGAACGACGGCTGACTAGATGTCGCAGCTTGAGGCTCTCGGCGGGTTCCTTCGGGGAGAAAGCAAGTTTTTTCTATCAATACATGTTGAAGGATCAAGGTCTCGATCGGATCGCTTGCTCGCAGTCCTTGAGTCAGAACTCGACGCGTAATCGGAACTTGCCTCTCGATACGATCCACCGTTGCACAGTATTTCGACGCTTCACTTTGTATCTCATTCGAAACATGTCTACATATTGTCCAAGCTCAATGACGGCACACTGAACATGGAGCTCTAACTCTATACCTTTCTGCGTTTTAGGGATGGATTCGATATCAAGATGAACTCAACGCCCCCGCCAACTTACCTCCCGGAATATTCCCGCCGATGCCGGGTGCTTTGGGGTCGGTTGACAGAAACTCGAAAATATATTTGTATCGTCGTAGATTATTTAATTTTCCGCCTGCGAAGTCCCTCCGTTCATGAGGTCCATCTTAGATGATCTCAAATCCTTCAGAATGATTCTTGATTCGACTCATTTCTGATAATGATTTTCGCAATATTTAGGCTCGCTCAGCATACCGCTTTCCCCGGATCCAACCTGTTCTGCGCTCCGTCGCATTTGGCAACTTCTCCCTACGGCGCTTACCAGATGCTGCCGACAGCGAATCTTCCCATGCCGGTGGTTCAAGCTCCGGTTCAGCCGAGCGCCACGACAGCCGTTACGGCCCCGAATCCAGAAGTTAATTTAAATGTCTCTGATCTTCTAAGCAAGCTGGTCAACGCTGGCATTATCGGTTCTGGTGACAGCAAGCCGGATGGTGAGCATAATCAGATTTTGCGGGTATCGACTGGAACCTAGCTATGATTGCCATGCAACGTGCCCCGAAGTCCTGAGAGATCTCCTCATGTACTAACACGGAATCTTTTGCAGCCGCCGCAGACCCCAAGCCGAAGGAAGTGGTGAAAGAAGATATCCCACGATTGACTTTCAAGAAGACGGACTTGTTGAAGAAGTGAGTCTCGGGGTTCTTTAAGTCATCAGTGAATTGAGAGAGCTTCCATCAATGGGACCAATCGATCCAGGCTCATATCGAAGGTGCGACCGCTCCATCTAAAGACAGCCTCAACTCCAAATAATTGGGTCTCCTTTTTTTAGACGGTACAATGGCGTCATATCAGCTCTACACGACGGAATGCAGTGCGCAACCTGTGGCCAACGATTCTCGCAGGCCGAGAAGAGCTCGGATAAATACGCGCAGCATCTGGACTGGCACTTCAGGTACCCTATTTGGGCATTCTGCTCCTTCCTTCTTCACTCATTCACTGAGTATCGGGGGGAGGGGGGAGTCAGAAATATGAATTTTAAATATGAAAATCTTCGCAGATCGGCTCGGAGAGGAAGAGAGGGCTTGAAGAAAGCATCATCTCGGAAATGGTTTTACCAGATCTCCGACTGGAAGCTATTCGAAGAAGTTGAGGACATCGACGATCGAGCTCGGAGCTATTTCGAAATTCAAGTGAGTTCGAATGAGAATCACTCTCTTCCGTCGGAGCGGGCCAAGCTCCTCAAGAATTCGTATGAATGGAAAACTTCTGTTCACAGGAAGCACAACATGATAATCCCACCCAAGAGATCGAGACGTCCGATGTTCAAGAAGTTCCGACGGTTAGCGCGAAGCATGTCGACCAGAACGAAAATGTAAGCTATATACCCTCCGCCTGAGTTTGATGTTCGAGCCGACTACTGTCGTGGCGTCCGTGATGTTCCCGAGATCGGCTCGTCTAATAAGGATCCGACCCCGTTCCAGAATTGTTTCTTGTGTCACGAAGCTTTCGATCTATTCTTCTGTGAAGAGAGTGAAGAGTGGCGACTGCGCAACGCTGTGATCTCGGATGGGAAGGTTTTCCATCCAATTTGCTATGAGGACTTCATCAGAGTAAGTTCAAGAAATCCAAATCCGGCGCGACATAAGCCTTGACTCTGAGGAGTATTCTCATTGAGTCTTTCTCCTCATCAGCCGACACCTGATCCTATCGTGCCAAAGAAAGAAACTGCGACTGAATGTGCTGAGCCCATGGAAGTTGAAAACCCGACCATCAAAGCCGAAGTCAGTGAGATGCGAGCAGACGAGACCAGCCAACCTCTGCCCGGGTTGGACTTCGCTCCGCCGTCCACAAAAGAAATACAGCGAGAAGTTCAGGTGAAACAGGAACCTGAGGAAAACCCCGAAGGAGACGCCACCGAGCAACCATCGGAAGCCGGAGAAACTTGCGAAGACGAGAATGACCCTAATGACACGATCCAATTAGCGGAACAGACCGTGATAGTTGAGGATCTGGGCGAACTCGGGGTTCACAGCGAGTCCACGAGCGCTGCGGGGGGTGATGATGAGTCGACGCAAAACAGTGAATCGGTAGATCCAGTTGGGGCTCGGAGCGTGACCAGTCCCGAAAACGTCAGCCAAGATTCGCAATCCGAATCCAAAGTCATTGTTAAGAGTACGGGTGGTATTGTTCTGAAAGTCAACTTCGACAGTAAAGCGAACGGTGATAATAGTGCAGCCGATGCGAGCGTGGCCGAAGAGCCCGAACTCGAGCAAGAAGTGGAGTGGACGCCTCCGACACCTGACCCAGCCTACAAAACATGTGCCCCTGTCCGGAAGGGAACGGAGGAGAGCGGGCTATGCAGCATAATGTAAACTCTCTCAGATCACCATGATGACACTTAGACGATCAATCAAATTATCCGAGGATAGAGGAACACTCCTCCAGTTCCACGGGTAGTAGTGCGACGAACAGATATAGTCATTTTTGAATGTAAATACGGAGTTTCGATCGAGCTGTACTACCTGCAATGGTCCCCGTGAGCCGGAGCAAACCTTGGAGGAAATCGAGTGAAGACCGGGAATCCGCTGTCAGAGCTCAAGCCGAGACCCCACTCATTTTTGTACATGAACTGTTATGCGGAATCGTTCGGTAGCCGTTTTGTTTTCCCTCTTCAGAAGACCGCTGAATCCGATCATTGTTTATTTCAGCACTGTAATATTCCACGAGAGATGATGTGTGAGAGAGATTCCTTTATTTTTGGGTGAAATAAACTAGAATTTTATACATACATCCCGAGGTAGCCGATCACTGCTTACACGTGATTCCGTCTGATGGTCTCGTTCAAGGATGAGAAGCTCTCCCTCTGAGAGGAACGCTCGAGGGGCAAAGGAACCGAATGTCTCTAGAACTGACCATCGGTGCTTGGATAACTGGCCCGTGAAGATCTTGCGGCTCTCATCTGAGACCGTGGGCATCCGACAAACTTATTGGAAAATAAATTGCTCTGATTACCCCACCAGGCGGAGTATTTTCACTTCTCATCGACGATTTTTCGAGTTCCCCCTTCGCGAGGCATTTCCGTATGCACCGAGACTCCCATGGAGGCGAATTCGCGACCATGGGGTTCCGGATGACGTTCCCTCTCCGAAGGCAAGGATCGCCATGGGACGATATTCCGCAAGTAGCAGGCGTCTTCCGACTCCCTATTCAATCCTCACCCTGACGCAGCGTTGGATGACTTTCATCGTCAGCTAATTCCTTCCATCGCCGCGCTCCTACAGCAGAAGCTTGCATTCCTTGAAGAGCCTCAGAAACTCCGGAAACCTTCCTGAGGTTCTTCCGTCGCTGCGCCACTGAAGAATTAGAGCGAGCGTGCCTCCTCTCAATTTCTAGTACGAATATTGGAGCGGCGAAGATGAGGGGGGAATTTTCGGGCGCTGGGTGTCACCACGAGAGAAAAAATCACCGATTCGGTTGCTCCTAGCAGTTTTCGATTGCAGCGTTTCGAGGATCATTTCAACAATAAATCACTGGCGGTCGCGCTTGTCCCAATCAGAGCCTATTGTTGTCTCGGTGGTCGTGAGGGGTTCCCGCTCGCTCTCGAACTCCTCTGCCTCCCCAGCGAGCCGGCCAGCTATCTAGCTGGCTACCTGCCTGCCTGCCGGGTTTGCACACCAGAAACTGCAGCATGGCAAAGTTCATCCCTCCATTGTTGAATGACGAATCGAGTTGAGTCCACACTACGATTTCGCTACACCGCTCATTTCGTAGGTGCTGAGTGAGGACACGTGTCCCGTAACTCGAACACGGCCCGGTATTAGACAATTTTCTGCTAAGAGGGATTGCGTAAAATCGCGTTTGGAGCTCCGCGCGAGGATGTCGCGCCCTATCAATCGACGCTGCGCGAGCTCAGAACGGGAACGGGGAACGAAATTACTCGGTCGTTTCCGACCCCGAGCTACCGATCTCATCACGGGGAACTTATCGTATCGGATGGCGTCACGGACTCGCCGATTAACTCTTCACGGAAAGAAGCGTTTCCGACTCAGCATGGAAAATTTTCCCGAATGTTCGACAAAAGTTGCTGTCATCGCTCGGACCGTACGAGAAGGATGTGCGGCCTCCTCAGAGCAGAGAGCGCAGCAACGAGGGTACCGGCTAGACCGAAAACAGTCATCAAAATAGTTACGCGTACATCGGCATCATCATGTCGATCAACAATCACGGCTGACTGATCGGAGCGAGCTGCTTCCGACAGATCGAATGGGTGTTGAATGAAACGAACGAGCCGCCGCTGGTTGCCGGCTCGTCTCACTCACTCAGAGCAGGCGCCTGTTTGACAGACTAGCTTTCGCTCGGCTTTCGCACAGGCATTCCTCAAACTGATTAACAGTAATCGCGGCGACAACTATGCAGACACTGCTTAACTAATGTTTTGATTTTGCTTGCGAGAAACAGCTTCCAAGCAACTCATTGTCGCGGACACCTGGATTATATAAACTAGCTGTTCCATCTGAAAATTCACAGAAACCAAAAACCGTCTCAAGCAATTAGACCACGTTTCATCAACGCGTCGAGTCGGAAGAATAGATCCGATGAACGATCCTTCTAAAGGAGCGACTCCATCTAAGCTGTCTTGAATAAGGTGAAAGTACTCCTAGTTCGTTCATTGATCATTCTCTCAATCATCACGACCATCGCTGTACCGTATCAAGTCTCTCGTCTCTCATACGAATCACGGAAGTTTTGCCCGTCGGAATGACTGGGTTTCGCCCCATGGACGCCGATTTTCCCTAGATCACGATTCTCGGGACCTCCTTTTCCCTTCAGGAATTCGCTTTTCAAGAAAAAGTCGAAAAACTCGTGCCCGCACACGTTCGTAAGGATAGTCCACGCATAAGCGACTCGACGGAGGGGTATCCGGTCGATTTCTTGGTTGGTCATTCCTGTCGCCATCGTCTCACCTTCGCGGTAGGCCTCTGTAGACGGTAGGCCGCGCGCGCTTAAATTCTTGGCATTTTCTCCAAGATGGATCGCATAGTCGCCATTATCCGCTGTTGTTGATAGAGCGCCGAGTATCTTCGGGTGGCTCGGCAGATATCTCGATAACTCGTCGAGCTCACGTCGGCTGAGAACTGAGTTTTAATTCAGTAACGCTACCGATCACCTAACTTGCTTTGACCCGTCAAGGAGCTCCGAGGGATAAGATGAAGTCTCGGTCATTTTATGACATTTCGGCAGTGGTTTCTGGCCCCGATCGCGGCATTGGAAATTCTTCCGAGATTCGGAATGTGATTCTGGCTCATCGGTGGGGATAAAATACATTATGTTTCCCAACGACTCTATTCCGGCGTTCTTTTTTTCAGCGCAAGCCATGTCCCATCGAAGTCGATATCTGTACGAATAACGTCCCGTCAGCCGTCGAACTTTGGAGACAACGTTTCCGTTCGAGTACACCGACTCATCTCGAACACGTCTCGACAAAGAATACAACGCGTGGGAGAGGCTGCTAGTCTGCATCCTCGCTTCTCCAATTGCAGCAGTTGAGACGAAACACGCTTCGCTGGTAGTCTGGAACAAACACTGTGGATGTTTGACAGTTTTCGACAGCGCTGTCAAGAGCTTTAGGGGAACACCAATCGAATATAGGCCACCGACGGATCATGCAAACACGAGTGCGCGAATCATTTTTTACTGCAGTCCGCTTTTTCCTGAGGGGAGTCACCAACTGGATACACCGTAACTCATTAGCTCATTACCCTCTGCGGCAATTGAGTCGTAAATTTTTACTTGCCAGAGATCCAAAGTTTGTCGTATCATACTCGGTCTGATGAAATCGATGCCTCAGCAAAAAGAAGTGTACCGACGGAGCGGAATGTATCTTCAATGTCGGATCCTCCTTTTCGCTCCCGAGAGGTGGGAGCCACCTGAGGAGTTCACGATCCTTGCGGATGCATTCTCGTGCTCTTGAAGAAGGCAGGCCCCGATGGACGGACTCTCCATTGGCAGCTCATTATTCGGCGAACAAAGATTCCAAACAATGACCCGGGAAAAAATTGCGACGATATCCCCAGATTAGGCGATACACTCGCTCTGTTAGCCTCCTTGAGGGAAGACCGTGGAAAGCTGAGATATCACGGAGCTTGATCTGGAGCTGGTGTCCAATGAACGAACAGCTTTCCGTTCAGCCCGGCACCAGCCTCGGCCCGGCGATGACGCATGGGGGAATGGAATCGAATTCGACTTGTCCTGAGATGGTGTCCAGCGCTCTCGGCATATCCTTGCCGAACGATTCGATCGGGTCGGTATTTTACATAAATGGGATAAGCCAATCAATCTTGCCTGACGCCGGGAGAACGACGAGAATTCTTCGTGATTTCATTAAAGAGTATAAGGGTCTACCGTTTCCGACGCAGAGCTTCTGTAGAAAAGTTCCCTGCATCCTTCGCAGAACAGACGAATAAATGTCCTCCTCGTCGTTTGGATCACGGATCTTGTGAAACGATCTGTTCTTCAGCCGTCGGAATCTGTTGCTGAAGTGTAATGGGGTGTAAAGTAGCTATCAGATGGCAACGGGGAGATAAACATCCAGCTAGCAAAGAAAGCTCCTCGAATACTTCTGTTGCCCTCCGAGAGATCCCGAAGATAAGACTGAATGTTCGCAAACACGTGGCGTATATTCAATGTGGAGAAGTTTTCTTAAGCGGGAATCGTTCTCCTCCAGACGCATCATCGATGGCACCGAGGTCTCGGGGAAAGAATATTTATTGAATGAACAGATGACTGGTTCTTGCCATCCTAAGATCGGCCACGGGCTAATTCCAAGAGCGACTCATGGCTTCGGTGTCCTATGCAGAGGTGTCCGCACGGGGTTCCAAGCTGGAAATCCTTCCATGCCATTCCGGTCCCCAAATGAAATCTCGCGCTCTCCGTGGAAAAATCCTGGGAGACCAATGTACGCGCAGAACTTGAGCGCCGGACCCGGAGATACTGCCGATGACCGGTGACGAGCGTCCGCGATGGAGAGTCCTCCGGAAACAAGCGCGTTCGCAGAGGGACGAGCTAAGAGGGCTATAGCCCCCTGCCACATTGAGGGTTCGGAATACTGAGGTATAGGATGGAGTCGAGAAGTTGGATATCAGACCCATGCGAAGACCCGATCCAACCTCCCTCCAGGAGGAATATCGCGGACGCCACTGACCGGAACGAGCTAGCCCCCGCACGAGCCGCATCGAGCCCCGATTGGAACGAGCTCTGCACGAAAACCTTAACGCGCTAAGGACTCAATCAGCTCGTTGATGGGCTATTCTTGAATGTCGAGCTAGAACAGTTGGCAGTTCCGTGGAGATGGAGAAACGAGAGAATGGACGAAGACCGAAATCCCGGGAGCAGTTCGCAGCCTGCTCGGATCGCTCCAAGGAAAGTGCTCCTTCACGAGACCCTGGCCCGTCGATCGGACCCTGAAAATCGATTTCTATCACATTAGCGGTCGGATCTGATGCATTGAGGCGTCTTATCTAGTCGATTCTCAGTGGGAGCTCTGACGGCAGAAGGAGATGAGCGACTTATGGAGGCCTTCGTCGTCCCGCCCGCCGCATTCACGAGGATTCGACACCCGAGCCACTCATCCGACGGCTCGGGTTCGGTAACACATTTGAGTGAGTGCGCGTCTTCAGGAACCTATGAGGTAGTGTCCTTGCGGCAATAGACCGAACGGCAAAACAGTCTATCGGCTTGTGTTGGTAAGCGTCGTGTTATTGCGTCTTTTGTTCCGAGGCTCGTTCGGAGCGTTTCGGCTGTCGGATTGTGTATTAGGGACGTGTGTCCCGATGACGCGTCTCGTCAGTGATTCGCGTCGTTCTGACAGAGCGAACTCGTAAGTGTGAAGTCCAGAGCAAATACACCCGACAGCCGGCTCGCTGACAGCGCCTTGTCCCCGCCAACGCCTCAGTCTAAACAAAGCTGAAAACAAATCCAAGTACACACGAGCATCCGGTGCGATTTCCGTCGACGATTGTTGACTGTTGCCAAGCGAGTACGCTCACTCTACACTTCATTTTCAACGCTCTAAGCTGAAAGAGAAGAAAATAAAGACGAAACTATTTAACAGAGAACTCTCGGCATGAGCGAACGGAATCCGCTTTGGATGGGGTGCGTTGTCCAGTTATCTCAGAGTTGTCATCTGGCAAGCTGACGTTGGAATGGCCGCTCGCAAATTTACAACTTCGATCATATCGGAATCCACCTCGATACTTCTCGCGAACGTCGGAGACAATGACTCATTTGTCTTTGTGAACTCAACGTCACCAGATTCCTCGACCGAAGATGCGGCATTCGGCGCGATGCCGTTGCCGCTGTCGTTCCGAACCATCCAGATCGAGGTTGGAAAAGGCTCGGGGATCAAGATTGCCCGGAAGCCTCCTCCGGATGTTCCCCGACAAGCATCCGATTCGTGGACACGAGAGCTCTCTGCCGATTTTGAATTCAGAATTTTCGGGCGCAGCTCGCTTTCGTAAGATTCACGAGCGGAGTTCGACTTGCGGGATCGTCGGCGAGGAACTCCGAGCCGAAAAACGAACTCTAGGCTCTGGGTGACACCACATCGATCGACTCCGGTTTGAATGAAGCCACAGCGAGGCCCTACAGAAGAACGCCGATTGACGCTCGTCGTTGTGTGATCAAAGATTGCGGAGACTCCGAAACCCTTTTTCGGTTATTCGCGGTTCCGCTGTTTAGAAACGAAAAAGATAGATTCGTAGGAAACGGCGCGTAATTTACAACCGTTTCCTTTTTAAGCGGTGTTGAGCCTAGGTGAAGTTCCGAGTCAAATAGAGCAAAGTCGAGCGGTCTCCGTTTGTGGAGGTGGTCGCCACGAGTCTTTGTTGTGGTTCGGCTCTTCTTTTCGGTAAGCTGTGGTTCCGACGGAGACCTTAAAAAACACACTCGAGCTCAAAAGCATAGGGTTTGGAAGAAAACGAGAAACGTCTCAGGCTCATCAGAGACTTCATGAAGCTGAACGCTCCACTTCCAAGTATTCCACGCATCGCTCTCTCTCGAGATCGAGACTTCGCAGAGCTTCAAGCCTTGGGCGAACATCTAATGAGATGGATTGGATTTCGAGCGTGACTTCCTAGTTTGGCTCTCCGCTTTGTTTCAGGGAAATCAATGCGATCGCGCGCTTTTGCCAGCGCGGAGCTTCACACATCTGCAGCCACGTTGTTTTAAGAATGTCCGTCTCGTGAACGCAGACACAACAATCCATCTAACTGTGAGTTTGTCCCCAGAGTCTACTCAGCTGTCGAAAGTTTCCGGCGCTAATCATTGCACAGAACCGTCTTGGACATCGGATTTGACTCGCTCCTAAAATTCGGGTGAAAATTGTCGTGGCGGAACCTATAAGTCCGGAGAGCGGCTGAGGAATGTCCATCGTTGTTCAGATAGGAGCAGTCTCTCTCGGGCTCTCGGGAGCCCTCATAACAATCGTTTTACTTCTGAGGAAAACTAGAGATTTACTAGAATCTCATCAGCTCAAAAGAGCGTAGGTATGTTGAATCTTCTCACCACCCTACTGTTTCCAATAATCATTCAAGTCGCTTAGCACCCGTCGCGCATGCTGAGTAAGTCCTCGAGACTGACTTCGACATGATAATGAGGGTCTCGGTCACTGCGAGGAAGGCTTGACGGGATTATCGCATCATTTGGTGTGACCCAGCCCACGAAGTTCACTTTCATTCACCTGAGCGGACTTCACTCTCGAGCTTCTCCAAGCAGATCTCATGTCCGTTCAATTAGGGAAGACAGGTCATTGCATCACGCTTTGCGACTCCACGAAAATCTCGAGTAGACTCTGCTAACGAATGGGATGGCCGAGCTCAACGCGGAACTGACGACCCTAAAACCGAGTCCTTCTCTAGCGGAGAGCTGCGTTCACGGGAATCACTCATTATTTTTTAACACCTCGGTGCTAGCGCCGGGGGCTACTCACTTATGAACAGTATCAAGAATCGATGATCTAGTAGTAGGTTTTCGGAACCGAGCATGAGCATCCGCCAGCTTTCGCAGAGACCACTGTGTCGCGTCGAAAAGCTCTTTCCTGGTACTAGCTGTTTGCAAGAAGCTTGAAAATCTCAAAAGTCGATCCCTGGAGCTTTCAAAAATGGGAGCATGGGTTTTCGATGGAGAAAGACGAGACACGATACTCACTTTTATCATGACATCCATTTTCCCGAAGTTACTCGGTGACGATGTATAATGATTGGAGTCGTCGAATTCCGTAAATTGTGGATTGTAAGCACTAACTCACGCTGGGGGTGGGCCCCGGCAGTCCAGGAGGATATCATCCCCATTTACTATCGCTAGGAAGCCCGATAATTCGCTGGATGGATGAGACCCCCTGTATCGAGTTCCATCCCGAAACTCTCCTGCATGGGGACTGTTGAGTGATATCTTTCAGGACTTGAGCAAAACTCTCGGAACCAGCGTAAATTTGAGCTCGTTTCCCGGGCCCCGTAGACCAACGGCACGCCACCGATTCTGAGCTCACTACATTCGCGTTAAATGAAGGAGGCGAAACCGTGGCTCCCCGAGCAGAGGCATACGAAGACGATATCTCTTCACACATGGCCTCCGTGCAATATTCGGATCCGATCCCTCAAGACTGAACCCTCTCTACCGAATATTCTGATTCCTCACAAGCGTTTCGAACCATGTTGACAGCTCGCGGCTGACCACTTATCTAGGAGCGTCGCAACGCATTCCAGAAATACTCCCGCGCGTCTAGAGACTGCTCCCGGGTGGCTGCATCGAGCTCGGATCCCGTTTCCTCTCAGGGTTTCCATCCTCCCCGATATCATCCGGCAGGTTGCGAGCGCGAACTTCCATCCGTCGTCAAGTGACCGTCGGCGTCGGCCGCAGGGAACGACGGAGCCCGATTCAATAATGAAACCATTCATTTCGACAATGGAATGGTTCATATAGTATTCTGCCAGGAGACACCCGCGCAGGCGAGATCTCCTCCCATATCGGGAGCGAAATGATCCCAATTTCACGGAAACTATACGCTGGCGTCGTGTACGCAGAGCTCGCGCGCTCATGAGTAAGTAACGGGCACGTCCGTACAAGTCTCGGCAGTGCGCGAGCTCAACTTCAAGGGCCGAGACTTATTTAATTTCGACGCGGGACGGACTATTCACTTGATCCGTCTTCGGGAGACTTCTTTCGAGTTCTCTCAGCATTCTCCGGGAGCTGAGCGGTCTTTCTTGATCTCATTAGTCCTCCTGCGCCGCTAAACAGCGTTAAGATATTTTGCCGAAACACTAGCAACCTAGACGGCTCATGATCAGTCTTTCGTCATCCGTGGTCATTCTGCGAAAGCAGGGAGGAAAGGCAACGAGTTAACCAGTGATCTCTCATCGCTCGCTCCACTGTACCACCCCCGGTTTTTTCTTCAAAGATCGTACCTCCCAAAGCGAGTGAGGTGGCTCGCTCTTCGCGATCGCGATGCTCGCTGGTTGGCTGGCTCAACGCTGCGGCAGCTCTCGTCTCTGGTACAGGGATTGTAGTAGAAGACTCCCTTTCGTCGAGCAAGCCAAACAGCCGCAGGCCGGCCTGCCTGCCAGCCAGCCAGCCACTCAACCAGTAAAAAGGAAGATTGACAGACCGACGAAGAAACCCTCTCCGAGTCACTACACGCTCTTTCCACGTGTGTCCGATCATAAACAGTGTCGAGTCAGTTTCTCTCTTGTGCCGGGCCGGTCCGTGTCAAAAGTTTCGAGCAAAAGTGGTTCGCGCGGAGATCGCGCAAAACGAAACTTCGACAGTGCTCCTGAGAGACTGATCGTTCTCAAAAAGATTCCACTCTCGCTGTGCTAATCAAAGTGATCATTATGGATTTAACGGAGCGGTTTCCGCGGCTGAGATTATAATTCATGGTGCTGTGAATGACTTATGACTTTGTGCAAATCTTCAGCTCTGTGCAACTCTGAACAGCAACGAGGATTAATACGTTCTGTTTCGCCTAAAAGTTTCGATGGTAATCCCGCGGGAGATGGTGCCTTACGTTCGCTGATCTGAGACAAGCAGGGACTTTGCTAGGATCTCTAGAAACGGTTCTCCTATCGAAAGAACGAGCGACAGAGACGACGGCGTTATAATGCATAAGTGTACTCGCATACTCAGTCGATTGTGTCTTCTGTCGACGCTGATCGTCTTCGCGACAGCATCGAGGGACCAGACGTCCGTGTTCGAAGTGCTCATCACAGATCTGTCGCATCTCAACCCGACGATATACAATGGGACGTGTTGCGAAGGTAAGTCCGAGTTTGACGACCGTCGATTCCACCGATGAGTGTGCCGTACGCTCACGCAGTTAAGAGCCTTCCATGGGCGAAATTTTCCGTGAAATATTTTCGGGAAAGGCGTATCACTGCGGAAATTGCCGAGGAATGGGGAAAAAAGTATCAGCTTGAACAGATGACGAATTTCGGAGCGAATGAATTAAATTTAAGAATACTCCAATGCACGATCAGGAACTCGACGGCATAGCCCGTGTGTAGACATTCTATTGTCCCATTGTGCGTTCAGAAAAAGAGTTCCTAATTGCTCCCTTGGCATCGGGCCTAGTCACTCAAAGGCAAGCGCGGACTTCGAACTTGTTCGATAGCGCGCGCCTCGTTAAGAAAACGCGCACGGACGATCCGATCCGCGACGTCCTACTTATTCCGCAGGCGTGAAAAGTGTACATGCTTCAAGCGCGTGCTAATATACTCCGAGCAGGGCCTAAGTCGCGTGTTGCACGCTCCTGGTTGAGCTGTGGCGGTTAATCTACGCACCGTCCGCGACAGGAACGATATCCTGAGGGGGGACCCTACCTGGAAACTCGAACTGAACTTCCTTTATTGCAGGATCAGCGGACAGATACGGAAAATGTCCCATCAACTCACTATGCAATACCTATTTTCGGGTTTGCCTCCAAGAGTTCCGACGGAACGCCACGCCGGAATATCGTAAGTGTTCCTCGACAGTGAAATCGGCTAACTCGGAATTATCAGAATAAACCATTCACTAATCGACTTATTGTTCTTCCATAGGAAACTGCACTTTAGGCGAAACGACGTCGGACGTGTTCCGCGGCTTCGGCAGCAAGACCAACAGAATCGATCAGCAAGTCGCTTTAAGTGTGCCGATATACCATCGGTGGACGGTGAGTTTTAGCTCGGTAACTAGTTAGTTGAACCCCACAAACTATCCGGTATCGTCTCAGTAGACCAACAAAGGGGGCGCAAAATCGATTCACCGGGTAGTGTGAATGAACGTCATGTACAATGCGTCAGAAATTCGTGCGAACGACGAGGAATACGCGCCACGGAAAGTCAAGTCAGAGAAATTGTGCTCATTGTCGTGGTATTCTCTTCACACGCCGGTGATTCATTGGAATTTATTATGATGGATTGCGCCGTATCACTGGAGAAACATTGGCTAACCAGAGGCGCGAGAAACGTCGGTTCACCGAATCCCTTTCGATTGATTGTGCCGACGTTTCCCTAAAGGGCACTCCGGTCTTGGATTGACTAGGTTTGCTTGTTATTAGTCATGTTTTGGGTGCAGTCCTTCCCGAGGCATCCCGACAGCACGGAACCTAGCTAGATGTTCCCACGCATCGGGCTTTGTGATATCGAAGATACCGTCTGTCCCTAACTTTTCATTGGGCTGCTACTACCTGCTTCTCATTGACCGTCGATTCCTGTCGATCCTCGTGCGCTATGGTCTGTCTCCCTCGGAAATGTCCCGCCATATACGCATTATATCCCATTGCGAGCGAGCGCGGAATCGCCTGGGACTTCACGGGAGCGAGCTCGGATTGGCCGAGACATGAAAAACTGTCTAATGAAGAGAGTAAGATCAGGGAACATTCGGTGGAATGCACAAGCGTAAGTCCGCATGCCTTTTTCTCTCCTGCTGCATCGGTCAGTAATCGACAGACTTAGTGGATACAAGAAGGCTGAATGCTCCATCTGGGCTGAATGCTCAAGGGTACACAAAACAAATTCTCAGTAGAAGAGAATGTATGTTCCCCCATTCGTAGACGGACGCTATATTTTTGAAGCACTTCATTCCTCCCCCGTTACCCTCTGAGTTGGTACGGAAGTGGCCCAGTACGCGAAAATGGGCTCGTCTGCTCTCATGCGCGTCCGGGTGGTCCGAGCACTTGAGTTTTTTCAGTCTGGAGCTGTTGTTCTTTCGCTGAACTCTTTGGAATTCTTGCTCTGATCTCTAATGCTCCAGACTCCAAGATCTCTACGAGTCTCGGAGAACGCTGAGGGTTTCGGCTGCTGCTGGATGCCTGCTCGGCGCGCCGAGCCCGCTCATAGTTGGGAAAAGACAACAGAGTCAAACATCAACAAAGTCTTATTCTCCATCGATTTTATATTGATGGATATTCCAAAAAGTTTCTCTGGTCTTCAACGGCGACGTCGCGAATCTGTAACTAATGGGTCCGATCGTTGGGGTCGGTCGGTCTGCTCGCTCGTCCCTTCAGTCTCTATTTTCGGTTATAAACGATGACAGCTCTGTCCCGGACGTCCAAGTGAGCGATAACGGGCGTCGATGTCAAACACAGGATCCTCGAGCGTTTGACGGCGATCCGGACAGCTGTTGAAGTGTCACGGCGACTTACCCGATACCTGACGCGAAACAGTGCTTTTGTGCTGATTGTGAGTGAGGTTTCGGATTGCGTCCGCTCGGCCCTCTCCGCGAGTCTACCCGTGTTGCCTCGGATTGAACCTGAGTGTCGTTAAGCCAGAGAAAAATCGAAGCTCAATTCGAACATATAATTACAAGCGATGCGGACGTCTTCGACCAGAGATTCAATTTTCTGCCAATTTTTCTCGCGATGCTATGACTCTTTGAATTTCAACGGCGAAATCGAGATAGGTATCCCCGTATTGTTCAGGATATCCCCAAAATATCAAAATATATTCAGGTCTGGCATCAGGGGCTCTGGCTCTTATCCCGCATAATAGAACATACACAAAACACATAAAAAAACAATGTGGGTTGAAATGAGTCGTTATGAGGTCGCCGTCTGTTCGACCGTGAAGAGTTACGTTGCGTCGATGTAGTCGTACTTAGTTAGGCGATGACAGCTGGAACAAATCTCAGACTGTTCCCAGCTCTAATCAACACGCCGTGGTCCATTGAATCTTGTAAGTCTCGGATGATTGACCGTATGATCGATGTATCGATTCTTCGCTCGACCGCTCGATGAGTCAGGTACTCCGGAATAAACGCACATTCGCGTCCTCGGAATGCACTCCGATCCGCCCGTGCCCGACACCCGAGATTTACGAAAGGTTCGATCTTCCGTCGGTGAGCCCACGACTGTTTCCTTCTTAGCCGCGCGAAGGTACTCCGTGCCGCGACCGGGGCCCGCCGTCCGATGGGGAGTTTTTGCTTCCCGGGGCATTATTTAGGCTACACTCATGACGGAGAGAACAAGTTGAAACAGACGAACAAAGAGCCTGATGAGGGCTTGTGAGGAGTGAACGAGTGGGTTATGTATTCGTTGCTAGGTTTTCCGATCAACTCAAGAGCTGTTTACATTAAGGCGTTCGACTGGATCCTTCTTTACCTTTTCCTCTCCCCGTTGTCTGCGGTGATGATCTCGTCGATGACGACGATGACGACATCAACAACGAGCACGCCTTCGTCATTACTTTTCTAAGGCGAACAAAAATTAATGATTTGAAGCAGACGGAGGAATATCTAGTCAGTGTGTCGGTCGGTGAGCCGGTCGACCAGCTCAGCGCTGGAATCTCGACCTAAGGCGTGCGGTGTATTCCGGCAGTGTATTCCACCTAATCAACAAAAAGTTCGCTCAGACTGTCGAGACCCGACATCGCCGAGCCTCGTTCAACCGACACTGCAGAGCTCCCCCTGTTCCCCGATGGGATTTCAAGGAGCATCTATGTATGTGGCAGCTAATGTCTCCGGAAAACGTTGACATTTTAAAATACCGTGAAATCGATGAGTTGACCCGAATCATGCAGCACGAAAAATAGCGATCATGAATTATGGAATCATGAAGCTTCTCAGATACGGGGGACAATTCATATGTGTCGCGTCTTTCATTGTCCTGAAGCGCCACGAGAGCGGCGGATACGAGAATTTTTCGTCAAGTTCGACAAATGTCCAAAGTGAGTTGTTCTTGTGAGTTGTCGTTGTTGTGACCGCCTGTTTTGTCGGTTGCCCTTTTGCCGATGCTCGACGCCGCGTGTTCGCCGGGGAAGATTTGTTCACGGCTACTCTTCTTTCCCCTGACAGAAGCAAATAGGCTTTTTGATCTCTGGGCGGGAGCGTGAGGGTTCCGTTCACTGTGGCCAACAATAATTCTCAAAGTTTTCCGATTCGAGCGCAGTAAATGGCCGAACGGAGCGCAAACAGAATGGGATGAGAGTGATTCATGACTCGCGCTGTAATGAGCGTGATCGATTCCCGTCAGAATCGTCCCTGGCGAAGCGGGCTGCGATCAGTTTTATTTCCTGCAGCCTCGATTAGACGAAGACGATCGACAGGTATCCATTCTTGTGGAGTTTTTGCATCTCATTGTGTTTTACATTCACCGTAGAGATCCGATTCAAAATACCTGACGAACTGAATGCCTGCTGTCTACCTTGCCAAGAAGCCGGCCGGCAAACCGGCTGGCTGGCCGGCCAGTCACTCAGTCAGCCTCCATGCCTGCCTGCCTGTCTTACGCAGAATTTGGTCCCGCTTTCGGCGCTCCTTTCGGCAACGATAGCAGCGCGGCGTCGTCGTCATCGTCGAATTCGTTGACGCTATACACATCGGCAGTGAGAAGTTCCCAAGCAGGAGCAGAAGCGGAAAAAGAAGCATCATAGCGTTGTACACGAAGAGTATTGTTTGATTTTGGGGCCAAATCCGAATCTCCGGAGACGCTGCTCCGCGAGCGAGGAAGGACTTCACAGAAGACGCAGCGCTATACGAGTCCCGTGAAACTCGGTGGTTCCAGCCTCTGAAGCTTTTAGTGATGATCACGATGCGTCTTCTCACCCTCTTTTTCACTTGAAGTGGAGGAACACAGGGCAAGAATTTCACATGATTTAATTTTCAGATATCACCGCTATCAGATGCTCTTCTCTAATTATGATGAGTCATTATGCTCTTGGGGACACTTTAATTACGCTCCTCTGAGCGCCTCTGTAAGCCACCATTGTTTCCCGTTCGGGGTTTACGTCGCTGTTGGTTTTTCTCGTGTTCCGTTGAGTTGCCGCTAAACTTGTTGAGTTAGGGGATGGTTGGTTCTTCCTCTCTGCCGTCGTCATTTCTCCGGCTATCGTCCGATGGTTTGACGATAAGGGACGCTGTCCATTCTAACTGGTCAAGACAGAACTTTTGAAGCCGAGGTCCGCGATTCCCGTCACCTGGATTTGCTATGATTCTTCCCAGAGGGACTTTACGGGGAGTTCCTCTCTCAGGTGTCCCCGGGCCGAGCTTTACAGACCTGTCAGACGCTACCACGTACAAAGTTCTGAACACCGTATCGCGATCGGATGGAAAGATGCTCGAGGCTATCAGTGACAGTGTTCTCATAGCGAAATTCTTCTTCCGACACTGACAAGCCCCGAAAAATAAGGATGCTGCGGAGAAATTCACGACGCCATGGGCGCCGAGGATTGATATACATATACATACATATTTCGACTTTCGGCCGTCTACTCTTTTTTGACTCTTCTGCTTCCCCCTCCCGTCGCACCTCAGTGGGAAGTCGTCAAAATGAAGCTACGAGCGCTTTCGTGGTCTGTTCAGAGGAAATCTGATTAGCTCTGTGCTCCGATGTCATTCACGTCAGCAAATGGAGCTGTCAAAGAACGTGCGCGGAATTTTCGCAGGACGATATTGAGAAAGCACACACGAAAAAAACAACAGGAATAGACCCGGCAGCCGCACCATGCGTCAAGAATGCAGGAATTTCACTTGACTCGTTTTTCTTGCTCGTCAGCAGTCAGTGCGACATTTACGGAATTACGTTCGTTGAGCGATGGTTTACGCGAAGAAATCGAATGCCGCTCGAATGTGGAGAAACAGCGACGGTCTGCTAGTGAAATTTATTGATCCGTTGTTTTTCGCTTCCATCCTGAGAGTATCGATGGATTCCGCATCTACTTAGGTACTCTCGAAAGAGAG